GTGATTGACTCAATGGGTATTGTAAACCTGTTGACGACTGTTAATGAGTGCAGGTTTACCATACCCATTGAGTCAATGCAGTCATTAACCGTAGTCAACAGGTTTTTATTCTTATCCTTAATTGCTGCATTGTACTTGACGCGGGTGGCACTGTGGGTTAAACCACAGAGCCTAGGACTTGCCGATCAGAAGGTCGGCGGTTTGAATCCCTGCAATGACGGGGTGAGCTCCCGTTGCTCCTGCCAACCTAGCAGTTTGAAAGCATGCCAGTGCAAGTAGATAAATAGGTACCACTCCGGCGGGAAGGTAAACAGTGTTTCCATGCGCTGCTCTGGTTCGCCAGAAGCGGCTTAGTCCTGCTGGCCACATGACCCGGAAGCTGTACGCCGGCTCCCTCGGCCAGTAAAGCGAGATGAGCGCCGCAACCCCAGAGTCGGTCACGACTGGACCTAATGGTCAGGGGTCCCTTTACCTTTACTTGATGCTAAAAATCCAGCTCCATTTTATTCCCCCCAGGTCTTTGGTTGATCTTATTGAAATTCGACACCCTTTTAGAATGTGGCTTTTTTTTGGGGGGGGGTGTATTGAGTTACCTCTTTCGGTTTGATTTTATATGTTGTGGTCTTCTTGTGAACTGCCCCAAGACCTCCCGGTCTAGGGCGGTGTATAAGTTAAATTAATAATAATAATAATAATAGGTAAAAGATAAAGGTAAAGGACCCCTGGACGGTTAAGTCCAGTCAAAGGTGACTATGGGGTTGCAGCGCTCATCTCGCTTTCAGGCCGAGGGAGCTGGCGTTTGTCCGCAGACAGCTTTCCGGGTCATGCGGCCAGCAGGACTAAACCGCTTCTGGCACAACGGGACACCGTGACGGAAACCAGAGCGCACGGAAGTGGCGTTTACCTTCCCGCCACAGTGGTACCTATTTATCTACTTGCACTGGTGTGCTTTCAAACTGCTAGGTTGGCAGGAGCTGGGACGGAGCAACGGGAGCTTACCCCGTTGTGATCATAGTTATAATGCCTGTTTTGTCAATGTAACCCCTCCAGCCTCAGGCGAGTGCGCCAATTATTCCTGATTGCAACCTTTTCCACAGGTGCAACAACGTCCGCGTTCACCGTCTCATCAGGACCATGGTCGTGTGGTGGTGCATTGCCATCACCTGTTGGCTGACGGATAAGTTTTTGTGTGGCCTCTGTCAGAGGGCCAATTTCGCCTACCTTCACAGCATCTGGTAAGAAGGAACTGCTCTTGGCTGCCCTGGAGGGCTAGACGAGATAGAACGGTCTTCATTTATTGGGTAGTGGTGTCAGAAGCCAGCTGAACATTGGCAAAAGCTTTGAGGTGGTAAGCACTGCTGGGACAAGGGAGCCCATAACTTAGCCATCTTGGCCATCACACAATGAAGCAGTTGTGTCAGGCGGCAAACGAAGAAGAATCTTTATTTGCTTTGGCCACTAGACATAAAAAGGTAAAGGTAAAGGGACCCCTGACCATTAGGTCCAGTCGTGACCGACTCTGGGGTTGCAGCGCTCATCTCTCTTTATTGGCCGAGGGAGCCGGCGTACAGCTTCCGGGTCATGTGGCCAGCAGGACGAAGCCGCTTCTGGCGAACCAGAGCAGCGCACGGAAACGCCGTTTACCTTCCCACTGGAGCAGTACCTATTTATCTACTTGCACTTTGATGTGCTTTCAAACTGCTAGGTTGGCAGGAGCAGGGACCGAGTAACAGGTGCTCACCCCGTCGCGGGGTTTCGAACCACCAACCTTCCGATCAGCAAGCCCTCGGCTCTGTGGTTTACATAGCAATAAAATAAAAATGTACTGAAGATTCAGTGGTACCTCTGCATATGCACACCTCTAGTTGTGTATCCTTCGGGTTATGCATGCGGCAAACCCAGAAGTATTTTTCTGGGTTTCGCCACATGCGCAGAAGCACTCTATGTGCAGCACATGTGCAGAACAGGCACCTCTGGTTGCAAATTCCTCGGGATCTGACCAGAGCTCCGGAACAGATCCCGTACACAACTGGAGGTACCACTGCAGAGGTAAAAACTTAACTGTAGAAAATACATTTTGGGGGTTTCATCAAATGCTTCTCAGTGGCAGCAAATTCTTCTCAGAGGTTGCTCCCAGTCTTGGGAACTCTCTCCCTGGAGAAGCCAGACAGGCCTCCTTCCTTGATGTCCTTCTGCCAGGGCCTTCTCGGTGGTGGCTCCCTCCCTGTGGAACGCCCTCCCATCAGATGTCAAGGAAATAAACAACTATCTGACTTTCAGAAGACATCTGAAGGCAGCCTAGTTTAGTGAAGTTCTTAGTGTTTGATGTTTTATCGCTTTATTATTATAGCCGTACCTTGGTTCTCGAAACGCCTTGGTACTCGTACATTTTGGCTCCCAAATGCCGGAAGCCCGGAAGTAAGTGTTCCAGTTTTCAAACGTTCTTCGGAAGCTGAACGTCCGACGCGGCTTCTGCTTGAGCTCAGGAATCTCCTGCAGCGGATCGGAAGCTGCGCCTCTGTTGTCGAACATTTTCTGAAGTCTGGCAGACTTCTGGAACGGATTACTTCCAAAGTACAACTGTATTTTCTGCTGGAAGCTGCCCAGAGTGGCTGGGGAAGCCCAGGCAGATGGGCGGGGTATAAATTATAAATGATGATGATTATTATTACAGTGGTACCTCAGGTTACATACGCTTCAGGTTACAGACTCCACTAACTCATAAATAGTGCTTCAGGTTAAGAACTTTGCTTCAGGATGTGAACAGAAATCGTGCTCCGGCGGCACGGCAGGCCCCATTAGCTAAAGTGGTGCTTCAGGTTGAGAACAGTTTCAGGTTAAGAATAGACCTCCGGAACGAATTAAGTACTTAACCCAAGGTACCACTGTATTATACAGTCATACCTCGGGTTAAAGTTGCTTCAGGTTGAGCCTTTTCGGGTTGCGCTCCATGGCGACCCAGAAGTAACGGAACGTGTTACTTCCGGGTTTCGCCGTTTGCGCATGTGCATTCGCTCAAAATGATGCCGTGTGCATGTGCAGAGAATCGCAACCCGCACACACACAGACGCATTTTGCGTTCGCTTCAGGATGCGAACGGGGTTCCGGAACAGATCCCGTTCGCATCCAGAGGTACCACTGTATTTCAAAAAGTAGAAAAGCAAGACACCCCTGGCAGCCCTAAACAACATTCTTTCCTTTTTTAAAAAACTCACAGGCATCTTTGCATCGTCGTTACCATTTTCTACTGCGCCACCACGGTCGTCTACTTCGATGTCTTCTACGAACTCCCTAGCTCCGAGCCCGACGTGGTTTACTGGCCCAGCGAGGGTAGCTTCTTTTCGCTGCCGTACATCAACCTTCCAAAATTCAAGAAGCAGTGCTAAAGGACTGCGAGACCGCTGAGGATAACAGGAGCCCGGCACTGATCCGACGGGTTCGACCCATCGCGACGACTGAGCCCTATGCTTGTTTGGCCGGCGAAAGGCTTCGCGCCGCCAAACCCTTGTTGCCTGGGAGACCGCGCATGCAGGTCGCTTTGTCGCATGGCTTGTCGCCCAACCCTGTTGCGCAGCGAGTTTTCCCGCCAGCCCGGCCATACTGAACGGGATGCCTCCGTTATGCGACACTGAAACTTGCCCGTTCCCCAGAGAATGGCGGACACCATATTTAAGCTATTTATAGAGGACATGTGGAGGGAATGAGAGAACGAACGGATCTCTCGCTTTATGGACATTCTGCGCATGTTCACCACTGCCTTGCTCCGACCTGTATTAAACTGCACTTTGAAAGAAAGAAATCGGCATGTTCATTTGTACCGAAATGTTGTTTGCTCTCAAAATGATGCGTTTTAAAACACAACTTAGTCTCCAAAAAAGGAGAGGGCATTTGGATACTTTTTCAGTTTTTCAGCACCAGACCATCAACAGATGTGCAAAATCCGATGTATAGTTCTGGTTCGGTCTGGACATTAATCTGAGAGATGTAGATCATTGGTGCTGCAGGGCTGGTGTTTCACAACCTGGTGTTTCGACACAATAATTGCACGGAATAAATCCATGGTGGGTTTGTTCTGATTTGTTCATTGCTACAACAACAACAACAATTTATGATTTATACCCCTGTCCGTCTGGTTGGGTTTCCCCAGCCACTCTGTTGGCGGCTCCCAACAGAATATTAAAAACACGACAACACATCAAACATTAGAAACTTCCCTAAACTTTCCCCATCACACCTTACTTTACCTTTACAGACAATACCATCCCAAGGTGGAACAATGACCAGATGGTTTCCTGTACAACTTAAGAAAAGAAGACTTCACATGCTCAGAGGCACTTTGCCCAAAGTTGTTGTTGTTGCTTTAAATAAAATATAATGACTTCTTCCTATTCAAGAAAAAAACAACAACAAATTCTGACTTAGGTACAGTGGTACCTCGGGTTACATATGCTTCAGGTTACATACGCTTCAGGTTACAGACTCCACTAACCCAGAAATAGCACCTCGGGTTAAGAACTTTGCTTCAGGATGAGAACAGAAATCGTGCTCCGGCGTAGCGGCAGCAGCAGGAGGCCCCATTAGCTAAAGTGGTGCTTCAGGTTAAGAACAGTTTCAGGTTAAGAACGGACCTCCGGAATGAATTAAGTACTTAACCCGAGGTACCACTGTATCAGAATTTTGCAAAGGTAAAGGGAACAAGCTCGCGCTCATTTTTATTTCCATCCCCCACCACCATACTCATTCCCAACTCTCCCTCTCGCATCTCTGAAGGATAGCTCAGTCGGGAAAAGTGAGAGACTCTTCGTGCCGGCGAGGTTGCGGGTTCGATTCCTGCATCGCAGTGGGTGGGACTAGATGACCGTGGGGACCCCCCTCCACCTCTACAATTCCAATGCCCCTTTCTCTGCCTCAGAACTTGAGTGGGCCAACCTGGAACGCTTTCCCGAGTAACCATCCAAACAGAACTTTTTCTCCGTGGCGACGGCTCCAGGAAGTCAGTCCTCGGGCAGGTGCCCCTAGGCAAAAGGGGTCCAGATGGGCAGACTGCCCTTCAGCTCAACGGACGGATTATGCAGCAACCGAAACTGTTTTACCCCCAACATGAGACGTACACCCCTCGGCCTTTAGAGAGACCCGACGGACAGTCAAACCGGCCCTTCCCGGCTTTTGTCCTCCCTGAAAACCTTGCCTCCGTAGGTAGGATCGGTTTACGCCAGCGGGGTTTTGTTACCTCGTTTTTTTCTGGGATGAGGCCAACCCCACATCTAAAGACGACAGCCCGTATGGCAAGTCCCCCGGGGGGGGGTGCTTGGCTTGTTGGCTCAACAGCATATTACGGGAGGACAGGTTTCCTTCTTAACAACTAATTTTACACCCCATATTATTGCAAGGGCAGGGACACGGGTGGTGCTGTGGGTTAAACCACAGAGCCTAGGACTTGCCGATCAGAAGGTCGGTGGTTCGAATCCCCGCGACGGGTGAGCTCCCATTGCTCGGTCCCTGCTCCTGCCAACCTAGCAGTTCGAAAGCACATCAAAGTGCAAGTAGATAAAAAGGTACCGCTCCGGCGGGAAGGTAAACGGCGTTTCCGTGCGCTGCTCTGGTTCGCCAGAAGCGGCTTAGTCATGCTGGCCACATGACCCGGAAGCTGTACGCCGGCTCCCTTGGCCAATAAAGCGAGATGAGCGCCGCAACCCCAGAGTCGGTCACGACTGGACCTAATGGTCAGGGGACCCTTTACCTTTATTATTGCAAGGAGGTAACCTGTCCTTCGGTCGCGGCCTCCCCATCCCAAGCCAACCTCAGTCCCTATTTTCCTTTCCCTTCTCTCACATCGCTAGCAATGGTTCCTGTGCCCTCGCAGGCCTCTTTTCCCCTTGGCGTTCATATTTTGAGGATAAGTGTTCTCGCACACGGGTGGAGCACAGTTGCTGAAACATGCGCCATCTTGGTACAGAAGGAAGTATGCCGCCGCTGCCGCCGCAGCATATTCCTTCAGACCCATGGCTTTTTGAATTATATTCTGATCTTTGGGGTGAGGAATCAGGAGTGTGTGTGTGTGTGTGTGTGTGCGCGTGTGTGTGAAATTCCACGCGGAATAGAGCCGCGATATCTAGCTGTTGCCGAAATTCGGTCGAGCAGCACAGCTACTACGAAGCGCACAGCAAAATTGTGCACAGTTGCTCAGTAGCTTTCGGGTGCACAGAGTGTCTGAGAGCAAAGGGCTGTGGATTTGCCTCTGAGCTGTTGCAGAACTCATGGAAGGAAAAAGAAGGAACCCTCAATGCAAAACATACACACACACACACACACAGAGAGAGAGAGAGAGAGAGAGAGAGAGAGAGAGAGAGAGAGAAGGGCTCACAGAAAAGGCACAATGGATTTGAGTTTCTGGAAGGCAGACTACAAAAGATACAGTCAAACCTCGGTTGTCAAACGGACTCCGTTCCGGAAGACTGTTTGCCTTCTGAAACGTTTGACAACCAAGGCACGGCTTCCGGTTGGTTGCAAGAGCTTCTTGCACTCAAGCGGAAGCCACGTCCAGGCTTCTGGAAAACATCTGAAAACCAGAGCATTTACTTCCGGGTTTTCGGCATTCAGGAACCGAAATATTCCAAAACGGAGCCATTCGAGAACTGAGGTTTTGACTGTACAGTATAGCAAACTGACATGGGTGGCGCTGTGAGTTAAACCACAGAGCCTAGGGCTTGCCGATCAGAATCGGAAGCCGCGATTTGGTTTCCGAACGTTCGACTTCCGTTCAACCTCTGAGGTACGGCTGTACAGTGGTGCCTCGCAAGATGAAATTAATCCGTTCCGCGAGTCTCTTCGTCTTGCGGTTTTTTCGTCTTGCAAAGCACGGCTATTAGCGGCTTAGCGGCTATTAACGGCTTAGCGGCTATTAGCGGCTTAGCGGCTTTAAGAAAAAGGAAACAAACTCGCAAGAACTCGCAAGACGTTTCGTCTTGCAAAGCAAGCCCATAGGGAAATTCGTCTTGCGAAGCACCTCAAAAAACGGAAAACTCTTTCGTCTAGCGAGTTTTTCGTCTTGCGAGGCATTCGTCTTGCAGGGCACCACTGTATTTTCATCCGAGGAATGTTGGAGGGCATGGCATCGTTGCTGAGGGGCGAAACCCAAAGGGGTTGCTCAGCCCTTCGGAGCCCAACCGGAAGTAGAGGAGGAAATTCTCGGGAGACAGAACGAGAGGACGACGCAGATGGCAAAAGCAGAGGGTAGAGCATGAATTTTTTCTGTGTGTTGACGTTACAGGGACACCCAGTTTGTACCACGCCCCCAGCCAAGAGAAAGAGCTATTTGCAACACCCCCGGCAGGTAACGCTTACGTGGTGCGTAGAAAGGAGCAACTCTCGCGGGCGCGTGGGTGGGCCTTTGCGGATTGTGGCCTGTAAATCTCGACTCGGGACAGGGCGGGACGATGCCTGGCTAGGTTTCTGACGGACTAAAGCTGAGATTTGGTCGGCAGCTATTGCTATAAGAAAACTGAGCCGATTGCCATTCCGCCACCTGCTGCCAAGTAATGGAATTCATCACTTCAAAGTACACGAGCATGATTAGTTTTGATTTTGCTTGCCGTTGGGATGGGACACAGAAGCCCATCTGCTGCACACACAGGAATAATAATAATAATAATAATAATAATAATAATAATAATAATAATAATAATAATAATTTAGTTATATCCCGCCCTCCCCAGCTGAAGTCGGGCTCAGAGCGGCTAACAACAGTAAAATGATACAACATTCTAAAATCATTTCATTATAAAATCAGTTCAAATCAGATTAATGGCAACCATCGGGCTAGAGTTCTGTGGGGATTACCAAAGGAGGGGGTCAGGCTGGCCTGACCAAAGGCCTGGTGGAACAGCTCTGTCTTGCAGGCCCTGCGGAAAGATGTCAAGTCCTGCAGGGCCCTAGTCTCTTGTGACAGAGCATTCCACCAGATCGGGGCCACAGCCGAAAAGGCCCTGGCTCTGGTCGAGGCCAGCCTAACCTCTCTGTGGCCCGGGACCTCCAAGATGTTTTTGTTTGACGACTGTAAGGTCCTCCGTGGGACATACCAGGAGAGGCGGTCCCGTAGGTATGAGGGTCCTAGGCCGTATAGGGCTTTAAAGGAAGCTCCGGGTTCGAGTTTCTCGAAGCAGGGAACAGACTCTTCCTTGAAACCCTGCAAAGCTGTTACCAGTCAGTGAAGACAAATACTACGCTAGCTGGACTAAAGGCTGGCTCAGAATAAGGGTGTTTCCCCGTGTTAGAAACTCAGATATATTAGCTAGGCGCCAAACCTCCTTAAACCAAGGTTGCAATCGCCAAGATGGAACACCCAGAGTTGCCATTTTGGGGCAAGATGGCTCAAAGCAGCGGTTCTCAACCTTGTGGGTCCCCAGATGTTGTTGGACTACAACTCCCATCATCCCTGAGCTCTGGCCTTGCTAGCTAGGGGTGATGGGAGTTGTAGTCCAACAACATCTGGGGACCCACAGCTTGAGAAAGGCGGCTCTAAAGTCTTGTTTTTCAAAGGATGGACTGGCTGTGATTGATTCTCAGATAAACTTCTGGCCAGTTCAGCTGACAAACCTAGACAGCATCATAAAAAGCAGAGACATCACCTTGCCAACAAAGGTCCGTATAGTTAAAGCTATGGTTTCCCAGTAGTGATGTATGGAAGTGAGAGCTGGACCATCAAGAAGGCTGATCGCCAAAGAATGGATGCTTTTGAATTCTGGTGCTGGAGGAGACTCTTGAGAGTCCCATGGACTGCAAGAAGATCAAACCTCTCCATTCTGAAGGAAATCAGCCCTGAGTGCTCACTGGAAGGACAGGTCCTGAAGCCGAGGCTCCAATACTTTGGCCGCCTCATGAGAAGAGAAGACTCCCTGGAAAAGACCCTGATGTTGGGAAAGATGGAGGGCACAAGGAGAAGGGGACGACAGAGGACAAGATGGTGGGACAGTGTTCTTGAAGCTACCAGCATGAGTTTGACCAAACTGCGGGAGGCAGTGGAAGAGAGGAGTGCCTGGCGTGCTCTGGTCCAGGGGGTCACGAAGAGGCGGACACGACTAAACAACTAAACAACAACAACAACAAAAGTTCAGATGACAGCCTTGAGCTAGGTTAAGAACTTTGAGAACTTAAAGAAGAAAAGTGACTTGATGCAGGGACAGTCTATATATATATTGGCCCATTCCAACCTCTTTTTCTTAATGGTGACACCGACCATTCATAACGTAAGAATAATCTTCACAACTGTGAGCAGGGCATTGTTCACTGCTTCTGCAGTTTGGAAGAGAGATTCTCGCAGCAGAGTTAGCACAATGGTGACTGCACCAAGCACATTAAAACTTGACTAGATTTTTACATCTTCCCTCCTCCACCTTTAGGCAAGCATTCCACACAAAAATACTTAGGCTAGAATAAATCACAGACACTTAGCTTTGCAAATAAATGAGTTTTTACACGCAGAGTTTCAGAAGTTACAGAAAACCAGTCTCCGTCCGCTGGCAGTAAAATAAGGAAGAAAAAGGTTCCAAATGGCTTTAAAAGAAAGAACTTGTTTCTTTCAAAAGAATAATGCGGGCTTTGTGTTATGCAGGCTGTAAAAATCTCCTTTAGAGAAACTTTATTCACGTGGTTATCCTTCAGCTGGGAGCCATTCTGCATGGCTCCTTTCTTCCAGGAAGACACAGAAAGAGAGGGAGGGAGGGAGGAGGATGCAAAGGCTGCTACCCACTCACTGGCAACTTGAGCTCAGGGCTCAGTTTAACCCTTTCATGCATGCAAGTGTGAGTCAGTAGCTGTATATTACAACAGGAATTACTCTTTGAGCTCCTCCTCCTGATCTGGCCCCTCCAGGGCACCTCCATGGGACTCGTGACCATGGCTATGTTGTGCTCACCAGTGTGGATACAACATAAGAAGATGCACACAGACCCTCTGCACACAACGTACAGAAAACCACTACATGCAAATAGTGCTTAGAGCTGAAGAAGCAGAATTGGGTAGCCCTATTTGCTGCCCACCTGAAAATGCCCCAAGATTCTAGGTTTTTTCTTGATTTCATCTTCATAAAACATCTTCAGTAACTTAGCCCAATACCACAGTCGGCGGGTTTTTGCACAGAAACCATAGGATATCAGCCTTGATTGTAGCTAGTTCCATGTAGCTTAGTATTGTTCACACTGACTGGCAGAGATTCTCTGGGGTTTCAGGAATGGGATGCCCCTGGGTGGGATTTGGGGAGGTGGCAGGAGGGCTCTTGGACCCGTCAGAGCAAAGTGCCCCCCTCCCTAAGCCCGGCAGAAGCTTCCTGGGCTTTGCGAAGGGGGCGCCAGGCTTCAATACTTTAATACAATGGTACCTTGGTTCTCAAACTTAATCCGTTCCGGAATTCTGTTCCAAAACCAAAGTGTTCCAAAACCAAGGCACGCTTTCCCATAGAAAGTAATGCAAAATGGATTAATCCGTTCCAGACTTTAAACCCCCCCCAAAAAACAGCAATTTAATGAGATTTTTACTATCTAACGAGACCATTGATCCATAAAATGAAAGCAATAAACAATGTACTGCAGTCACACAATCAATCACTGGGTTCCACACAGTCACAAAAACAAAAAAGAGCCGCTGAAACAAAAACGCAAAATAAATAGCAAAAACAGACAGACTTCAGCGTAACACTTAAAAATGGAAGTGTGGCACTCAAATTGGAAGCATAGCACTCAAATCAGAAGTGTGACACTCAAGCATAACACTCAAAATACAGGCCAACGGATCATCAACTCTTCTCAGTTGTGGATTTTTATATACAGTGGTACCTAGGTTCTCAAACTTAATCCGTTCCGTAAGTCCGCTCCAAAACCAAAGCGTTCCAAAACCGAGGCACGCTTTCCCATAGAAAGTAATGCAAAACGGATTAATCCGTGCCAGACTTTTAAAAACAATTTGACGTGAATTTTACTATCTAACAAGACCGCTGATCCATAAAATGAAATCAATAAACAATGTGCTGCAGCCACACAATCAATCAGTCAATCAGTAGCTGAACTGGGTTCCACACAGTCCCGAAAAACAAAACAAAAAGAGCCAGAAAAACGCAAAATAAATAGCAAAAACAGACAGACCTCAGCGTAACACTCAAAACGGAAGCGTAACACTCAAAATGGAGCACTTTCGGCTTCCAAAAAAAGTTCGCAAACTGGAACACTTACTTCCGGGTTTGCAGAGTTTGGGTTCCATGTTGCCTGAGTACCAAGGCATCTGAGAACCAAGGTACTCTAATTTATCGGGAATATTTAGAGGAGAAGCCCAGTCCCTCTAGGCCACTGACTGCACACCACTGCTGGGGATTGTGTCTCTGGGAGTGGGAGCTGGGGGGGGGGTCTCCTAAGAACTTTGAGCAGCACCCTTAACCCATTTCCCAGGAGCCTTTTGTGGGGGGTGTAGGGGAGCGCCATGGCCATTTACCTTTCCCGCCCCGACCTGGCCACCGTGATCCATGCGACGGTCACCTCCAGGCTTGACTACTGTAATTCGCTCTACGCGGGGCTGCCCTTGAAGCTGTCCCAGAAACTCCAGCGGGTGCAGAATGCTGCAGCGAGGCTCCTCACGGGGTCTCTGCCATGGGAGCATATTCACCCAGTGCTTTTCCAGCTGCACTGGCTCTCGGTGGAGTACAGGGTCAGATTTAAGTGCTGGTTTTAACATTTAAAGCCCTTCACAGCCTAGGACCCTCGTACCCACGGAACCACCTCTCCCGATATGCCCCACGGAGAGCCTCAAGGTCCATATATAGCAACACCCTAGTGGTCCCGGGCCCTAAGGAAGTCAGATTAGCCTCAACCAGAGCCAGGGCCTTTTCAACACTGGCTCCGGCCTGGTGGAACGCTCTGCCTCATGAGACCAGGGCCCTGCAGGATCTGATTTCTTTCCGCAGGGCCCGTAAGACAGAGTTGTTCCGCCTGGCCTTTGGCTTGGAATCAATTTGATTCCCTCCCCCCCTTTCTTTTTTCCTTTCTCCTCCTGTGATGAGGCTGCATTTTAATGTTTTAATGTTGTATATTAATCTTGTTTTTTAAGTTGTATTTCAATCAACTTGTTTTTATTATTGCTTGTTAGCCGCCCTGAGCCCGGCCTTGGCTGGGGAGGGCCGGGGTATAAATAAAAATTATTATTGTTATTATTTTTATTATTATTTGAAGTGGGATGATGGAGTGCAAGATGGAGCCGGACATTGCTCTCCATTCTCCATCCAGATAAGCAGGAGGCATCACAAGAGCTCAAGGGCGCCTTCTAGTGGTGGAGCCCTGGGGAAGGGTGTGTGGCCTGGACAGAGTCCCTAGGGCCATAGAGAGAGGGCTTGGGGGGCTGCGCCAAGGTTCAGCTCCTTAACTAATTAGTAATAATAATAATAATTTATTATTTATACCCCGCCCATCTGTTTGGGTTTCCCCAGCCACTCTGGGCAGCTCGCAACAGAGTATTAAAAACACATTAAAACCTCAAACTTTAAAAACTTCCCTGAACAGGGCTGCCTTCAGATGTCTTCTAAAAGTCAGGTAGTTGTTTATTTCCCTGACATCTGATGGGAGGGCGTTCCACAGGGCGGGCGCCACCACCGAGAAGGCCCTCTGCCTGGTTCCCTGTAACCTCACTTCTCGCAGGGAGGGAACCGCCAGAAGGCCCTCAGAGCTGGAGCTCAGTGTCCGGGCTGAACGATGCGGGTGGAGACGCTCCTTCAGGGATTCTGGGCCGAGGCTGTTTAGGGCTTTCAAGGGCAGCACCAACACCTGGAATTGTGCTCGGAAAGGTACTGGGAGCCAACGTAGGTCTTTCAGGACCGGTGTTATATGGTCCCAGAGGCCACTCCCAGTCACCAGTCTAGCTGCCGCATTCTGGATTAGTTGTAGTTTCTGAGTCACCTTCAAAGGTAGCCCCACGTAGAGCGCATGTCAGTAGTCCAAGTGGGAGATAACCAGAGCATGCACCACTCTGGAGAGACAGGGAGGCTCTCAGCCAGTGTACCAGATGGAGCTGGTAAACAGCTGCCCTGGACACAGAATGGACCTGCGCCTCCATGGACAGCAGTGAGTCCAAAATGACTCCCAGGCTGCGCACCTGGTCTTACAGGGGCACAGTGACCCCATTCAGGACCAGGGAGTCCCCCACACCTGCCCGCTGCAGTCAAAGCAAGTGGCAGCCAGCCTTGCCTTGGTAGATTTGAGCAGGACACACGTTGGAGGGTCTCCTCGTCCGTCCCTCATTTTCCTCTCTCCTCGCCCCTTGCCAGGCTTCCACATGGCTCCGTGCGGTTGCTTCTTTGACCCCCGGATCTACCGCATTGAGTGGGCTACGGCCAACTTCGTCCAGCCCTCCGTGTACAAACTCTCCGGCGCGCCGGGCCCGCAAAACACCTACCTGCTGGACGGCCAGAAATACCTCAAGAGCCCTGTCCAGCCGGTGGCATACCCGCCCTATCAGCCGGTCGCCAGCAACCCCCCGTTCGTCTTGCCCTTCTTCAAACCCGAGGGGCCCTCGAGCCACTTGGCGGACCACATGGGCTTCGTGGGGAGCCCTGCCCACAGCTCCCCCTTTGCAGAGGTGGTCTCTCTCCACAGCGAGGGCCCGGGGCAGAGCAAGGAGCGCAAGCTTCTCTCCACGCTTCCTGGGTTGAACCCGAGCGAGCGGCCAGCCCTGGCAGCGGCCTATGAACCCCTAAAAGACTGCCACAACTTGGCCTTCCAAGCTTTCAAGGACTTCCAAGCGGACGAGGCAGACGATGTCCGGAACCCAGATTTCGCAGAGGACCCTCCAGCCCTGCCGAACGTCTCTCCTGAAGACCACCAGGCCATCCTCGGTGCGCCGACTGCAGACATCATGCCTGAAGCGGAGTCTTGCATGGACCTGGAGAGCATCATCGCGGCCGGGAACGCATTGATAGAGGAGGAGGAGGCGTCCTTCAACCTTCCTGAAAAGGTCCTCTTAGAAGATGCCATGAAGTTGTTTGACTGCTCCCCGGTGAACTCAGACACCGAGGCCTCGTTGGACGGCTTGGGCAACGGACGCCACAGCCGTCACTGCGGAGACAGCCTGAGGGACAGTTGCTTCTCCGGCGAGGATTCGACCAGTGACATCCGGTCCCTCAACTTGCCCGACGAGCTGTTATCTTTCGATTACAGCGTGCCGGAAATCCTCAGCGCGGTGACCAGCCTGGACTACCTCTACGACGTGAACGCTTTCGGGGAGGAGTCGCAGTGGGAGGCCCGGCCGCCCTCGCAGCCCCCCCTGCAGCACGAGTCCCACATGGGCCTCGAGGAGAAAGCGAAGAGCGGTGTTGCCAAGAAAAACAAGCCTGCGGCCGGCCAGTCCAAGGTGGCGTCTGTGCAGGGAGGCGATGGTGAACCCCAGGGACAGGATTCCACCTCACTGGGAATCTGACCAGTGCATCTAACTGGACAGGTGGTTGTGCCACTAGATCAAGCATGGGGACAGAGTTCCTGCCATTTTGTCTATTAAAAAGAGAGAGAGAGCTTTTTAGAACTCGAACTGTGTGCCTGTCTCTCCAGGAGGACTCGCTATGTATCTTTGCAAAGTTAAAACTGCATGTGTGCTGGTCCCGGGGGGAGGTTACCGTGGGGCGAGGTCCAGGACCTGAGTCGAGGGTCGGCAGACAGTCCTCCACGGGCGAAGCGGGGTCCACAGCTAGGAGCCGGGCAAGGACAGGAACACTGGAGGAACAGGACTGGATGCTGGCCGAAACAGCTCTTCAATGACGACGTTGCTCCCGCAACCTGGGACCGGGCTGACTGGCCTTTATATTCTCTGAGGCCAGGGGCGGTCCCGGCCCCCAGGAGCCCCGCCTCTCCTGGCCTTAAGGCGAGCACTCCTCCTGGGAGAAACCAGTTCCCTTCACCTCTCTGCCCTAAGCCTCTGCAGTTCAGGAGAGGCTGAAGGGTTACTGGGCCCAGGGGGAGACTCACCTGTAGGCACTGAGTCCTCAAGCACCTCTGGAGCCAGAATGGATTCACCTGGTGCCTGCTCCTGAGGATCCAGCACAGGTGCAGGCACCTCAGAATCAAGGCCCTGCCCCAGTTCAGCCGGCACTGGAGGCGGGGACTCCTGTGCCGGCTGGGATTCCTCCGGTTCACTCTCTGAATAGGATTCCCAGGTCATCACAGCATGGAAACCTGGTTTTAGGTCACACAGGTAGAACTGTAGTTGGTGGGGGGAGTCTTCGTCGTGCTCGGACTACAGTGGTACCTTGGTTGTCAAACGGTTTGGTTCCCAAACAAATCAGCTCCTGGACGCCACAAACCTCACTGGGTGTTCCAGTTTGCAAACATTTTTTGGAAGCCAAACGTCTGATGTGACTTCCGATTGAGTACCGGAAGCTCCTGCAGCCAATTGGAAGCCGCGCCTTGGTTTTTGAATGGTTTTGGGAGTCAAATGGACTCCTGGAACGGATTGAGTTTGACAACCAAGGTACCACTGTATGTGTGAAGTTGGGACTTGGGAATAACTCACAAGGTGTCAAGATAAGTTAACTCTTTATTCAAAGAATCCAAAACAGTGCAGGCCTAGTGGTCCCAGCAACACTTCCCAGTAGATCTTTTCCCAATGAGGCAGTTGCGAGGACTGCCGCTCTCTAAGGCTCCTCCTCATCCAATTCCTTCCCAAGCAATCTGAGAAGTCTCCATCTTGCCTGCCTCTGCTCTGCGCTTTTCATACCTCTTCTGGTTCTGGGAAACCATGAGGAGGGGAGCTGGTTGCAGCAGGAGAGGGAGACCCCCTGGCTTCTTCAGCAACCTGCCTCATCTCTGCCTCTGGGCCTCCCTCCTGTTTCAGCTTCTGCCGCTGAGTCTGGACTTCTGTCTGCCACAGACTCTCCCTGCTCCTTAAAACCTGTTGCCCTGTTGCCCTGTCAGATTCTGACACCACCTCCTCCTTCCTTGGAATGTCAAAAGCTGTTTCGTTCGTCCCCTTCTCCTTGTGCCCTCCATCTTTCCCAACACTAGGCATTGGTATTTAGTGCACAGGTCGGTTGTGTATGTAGAAAAGGCTCCATTTTTATTTCATTCAATTTCTAGTTAACTGTGCAAGTTATGGTTCCTAGCCGAAATGCATGAATTAGGAGGTTATATTGGGACGCAGGTGGCACTGTGGGTTAAACCACAGACTAGGTCTTGCCAATCAGAAGGTTGGCGGTTCGAATCCCCGCGACGGGGTGAGCTCCCGTTGCTCGGTCCCTGCTCCTGCCAACCTAGCAGTTCAAAAGCACGTCAAAGTGCAAGTAGATAAATAGGTACCACTCCAGCGGGAAGGTAAAGGTGTTTCCGTGCGCTGCTCTGGTTCGCCAGAAGCGGCTTAGTCCTGCTGGCCACATGACCTGGAAGCTGTACGCCGGCTCCCTCAGCCAGTAAAGCGAGATGAGCGCCGCAACCCCAGAGTCGGCCACGACTGGACCTAATGGTCAGGGGTCCCTTTACCTTTATTGGCATCAAAACTTTCCCCAGAAACTGTCTTTACCCGATGGTGGCCTGCTCCCCAACCCTTCTGGCTCCCTCAGTGAGAAATGTCTCAATGCCTTCGGAAGAAGAAGAAAAAGAAGAGTTTGGATTTGATATCCCGCTTTATCACTACCCGAAGGAGTCTCAAAGCAGCCAACAATCTCCTTTCCCTTCCTTCCTCACAACAAACACTCTGTGAGGTATCTGGGGCTGAGAGACTTCAGAGAAATGGGACTGGCCCAAGGTCACCCAGCAGCTGCATGTGGAGGAGCGGAGATGCGAACCCGGTTCCCCAGATTACGAATCTACCGCTCTTAACCACTACACCACACTGGCTCTCTTCGGAATTTGGTTTCGGAAGAAGCCCACACTTCATGCCGGCCAATGGCTCAACAGGGGCCATGAAGGAAAACTGGCACTGTGCGAGATCAGTGGGAAACAGAAGAGGCCACAGTTTTTAAGTCCCAGCTTCTCACATGGCCCGCCTGCAGCCAGAAGCAGCTTAGGTCCATGCCCAAAAAAGTGCTTCATGGAAGGGGAAAAGAGTTCCCATCAGCCACAGGGGCACATTTCATTGAGGCAACTTTGTGTGTGAGGGGTGGGGTGGGAAGAGGACAAGAGGCAGAAGTGGCCACACTTCTGTAAGTTTTACTTTCTTACGTTGGGTCACACCTTCATCATGAATTTAAAGCACATGGCTTCCACTACCCCCCCAAAAAAATCCTGGGGACCGCAGTTTAAGAGTGCTGGGAATTGTAGCTCTGCAAGGATCCTTTGTGGTTCATAGTGCAGGTGTAATAATCATAATTTATTACTTATACCCCGCCCATCTGGCTGGGTCTCCCCAGCCACTCTGGGTGGCTCCCAACAGAATAAAAAGGCAATAAAACATCAAACTTTAAAAACTTCCCTAAGCAGGGCTGCCTTCAGGTGTCTTCTAAAAGTCAGGTAGTTGTTTATTTCCCTGACATCTGATGGGAGGGCGTTCCACAGGGCAGGTGCCACCACTGAGAAGGCCCTCTGTCTGGTTCCCTGTAACCTCACTTCTCGCAGTGAGGGAACCGCCAGAAGGCCCTTGGAGCTGGACCTCAGCGTCCGGGCTGGACGATGGGAGTGGAGACGCTCCTTCAGGTATACTGGGCTGAGGCCATTTAGGACTTTAAAGGTCAGCACCAACACTTTGAATTGTGCTCAGAAACGTACTGGGAGCCAATGTAGGTCTTTCAAGACCGGTGTTATGTGGTCTCGGCGGCCGCTCCCAGTCCCCAGTCTAGCTGCCGCATTCTGGATTAGTTGTAGTTTCCGGGTCACCTTCAAAGGTAGCCCCACGTAGAGCGCATGGCAGTAGTCCAAGCGGGAGATAACCAGAGCATGCACCACTCTGGCGACAGTCCGCAGGCAGGGAGGGTCTCATCCTGCGTACCAAATGGAGCTGGTAGACAGCCACCCTGGACACAGAATTGACCTGTGCCTCCATGGACAGCTGTGAGTCCAGAATGACTCCCAGGCTGCACAGTTCAGGGGCACAGTTGCCCCATTCAGGACCAGGGAGTCCCCCACACCTGCCCGCCTCCTGTCCCCCCAAAACAGCACTTCTGTCTTGTCAGGATTCAACCTCAATCTGTTGCCGCCATCCATCATCCAACCACCTTTCTCTTCAATCTCTCCTCTCTTCTAATGTGCATCTCTCTCCCCCTGATACCTCCAGTGGGTTTTGTCTTTTCCTTCAAGACAGGACCAGCCGCAACCAAAGAGTGCCCTGCCCTCTGCTCAGCTGCCAAGACCCTCACTTTAAAAACCGCACAATTCCCAGCTTTGATGGGTTCAGCCCGAGCTGGTTGTGGGACCACCGAGAACGACACCTGTCTCGCTTGTAGCCCCTCGATGCGCAGAATGGGGGCGCAATGCACATCCGGCCAGCGGGGCGGGCGAAATCCCTTCCACCACGGAGCAATTGAAAAGAAGAACCACAACAGGCTATGTGCCACATTGTAAATTTATTTGGCAAGTAGGGGGAAGCACGGGGGGGCAGACCAGAGGCCCCCCCAACTTCTGCCTCCCCACGAGGCGCAGTGGAAAGGAAAGGGGTCTTTCGGGGAGGCAAGCAGAGCTTCATCACAGTGGTAATCTAGGGAACCCTAGAGGAGATGGCTGGGTTTGGGGCTGTCATGGCCAACCAAGCACCCGGTCTCCGCGGGTTCCACAATCCATTCAAACAGTCAGTTAAGGCCAAGAGCACGAGGATACGAGGGAGAGGGGAATTGAGAGAGAGACAGACAAGACAGACAGAAAGCTCCACGTTCAGGGCAGAAGGGGCCAGGCACCCCCCCCCCATCGGAAGGGAAGAGCCGGCCGCTGATTCCCTTTGCCGCAACTGGGCCAGCTTCTGCCCGCGCAGCTGACCGGGCAGCCGCCAGGGACCCCGTCTGTGAAGACAAGTAAACGTTAAGAGGAGCTAAGAGGCACTCGGATTGTGGAGGAGGTGGAAACCCAGCCTTTGGGGGTTTCCAGAAAGCTTTGGAAACTTTCGCTTCCGGAGCTGGAACGCGACAGGAGTTGGGCGGCCTCCCGCCGTGCCAACTCTTATTAGATCTCTTGCAGCGAGGGGCCGGGATCGCTGCGTTCGCGCTTCACGAGGGGTTCGCCGGCGCATCGGGAGTCCGCCTCCGCCTCGCTGCCCAGGTCGCTGATGTCGTCTGCGGGGAGAGAGGAGAGACAGAAGTCACAGGGCTGTGTCCAGCAGGAGTCACGACTCGGAGCAGACCCACTGGAAGGACTGGGCATGGCTGACTTCGGTCCACTCATTCTAGCAGGTTCACTCCAAGTTGAGCGTAGCTGAATACAAGCCGCAGGGTCCGGCTTGCAAGACCCTGCAGCTGCCACCACCCCCCTTTTCTCCAACCAGCTACCAATGACCCAACGCCCCCCCCCCAAACGGTTTATCAATGTATCGTTTTCTGCAAGCGCCTATAATCCATGTACTGTGAATTGAGAACCAACGCATTGGAGAACCAACAGCTAATCCACTTTTTGTTGTGTCCGGGAAGCATCCTGCGAATAGTTACTATGACTTGCATTAATTGCATTGATGGATTGGTTGTTCGTCCAGCAATTGCTGAGGGTTGGACTCTACAACCAGAGAGCCAGTGTGGTGTTGTGGTTAAGTCACGTAATCTGGGTAACCGGGTTCGTTTCCCCGCTCCTCCACCTGCAGCTGCTGGGTGACCTTGGGCCAGTCATGCTTCTCTGAAGTCTCTCAGCCCCACTCACCTCACAGAGTGTTTGTTGTGGGGGAGGAAGGGGAAGGAGAATGTTAGCCGCTTTGAGACTCCTGAAGGGGAGTGAAAGGCGGGATATCAAATCCAAACTCTTCTTCTTCTTCTTCTTCTTCTACAACCCCATGATTCCATATGCTATTTTGTCGGAAATTATGGCGGTTGTCCATCAAGGGCACCGCAGTTCTCGTGAGCTGCTTCGAGCTCAGCCTTTGTTGCTGGAGAAGCGGGATAAAAAGGTAAAGGGACCCCTGACCATTAGGTCCAGTCGTGGCCGACTCAGGGGTTGCGGTGCTCATCTCGCTTTATTGGCCGAGGGAGCCGGCGTACAGCTTCCGGGTCATGTGGCCAGCAGGACTAAGCCGCTTCTGGCGAACCAGAGCAGCGCACGGAAACGCCGTTTACCTTCCCGCCGGAGTGGTACCTATTTATCTACTTGCACTTTGACGTGCTTTCGAATTGCTAGGTTGGCAGAAGCAGGGACTGAGCAACGGGAGCTCACCCCGTCGTGGGGATTCAAACCGCTGACCTTCTGATCGGCAAGTCCGAGGCACTGTGGTTTAACCCACAGCGCCACCCGCAAATATTTAATCAACTCAGCCCCAACCCCCTCCCTACCTGTCCCATGACCGGAAGGAGCAAAGAGAAGAGGAGATCTGAGGCAAGAAATACCTTTATCGAGCAAGGCTGGAGACATGGAGGCGAGGTCGCTGAACTGCAAGAGAAAACGGGCAGGGGGCATTTGGTTGTGAGCGAATCTGGAGAACGCCCCCCCCTGCTTTGCTCATCAATTCCCCACTGCTCCCTTGTTAACCCCCCCCCCCTGAGCTGTGGAGCGTCCAAAGCTGCTCGTGGGTTAAAGCTCTTGTTCTGATGCACAAACGCCCTGAGCGATTCGGGTCCGGCGTACTTTCTCGACTGCCTGAGGCCAAGCAGCTTGATCTCTGAGACCAGTGCCGGATTAAACCCTTTGGCGGTCAAATTACGGGGGGCTCCCTCGCAAGTTATCTCCCGAAACTTTTTATTTTATTTTAAAAGGTAAAGGTACCCCTGCCCGTACGGGCCAGTCTTGACAGACTCTAGGGTTGTGCGCTCATCTCACTCTATAGGCCGGGAGCCAGCGCTGTCCGGAGACACTTTCGGGCCACGTGGCCAGCGTGACAAGCTGCATCTGGCGAGCCAGCGCAGCACACGGAACGCCGTTTACCTTCCCGCTGGTAAGCGGTCCCTATTTATCTACTTGCACCCAAAGGTGCTTTCGAACTGCTAGGTTACTTTTTTTTTTTTACTGACTGACAATTCTAATAAGCCAATTTTATTACACAAAACGAACAGCACTTATTTTGATCTGTTGTCGGAGTGGGAGGGCCCTAGGTAAAGGTAAAGGACCCCTGGAGGGTTAAGTCCAGTCAGAGGTGACTCTGGGGTTGCGGCGCTCATCTTGCTTTCAGGCCGAGGTAGCTGGCGTTTGTCCGCAGACGGCTTTCCAGGTCATGTGGCCAGCAGGACTAAACCGCTTCTGGTGCAGTGGAAACCAGAGTGCACAAAAACACCGTTCACCTTCTGACCAGAGTGGTACCTATTTATCTACTTGCACTGGCGTGCTTTTGAATTGCTAGGTTGGCAGGAGCTGGGACAGAGCAAAGGGGATTCAAACCACCGACCTTCTGATCAGCAAGCCCAAGAGGCTCGGTGGTTTAGACCACAGCACCACCCGCTCCTAAGCTAAACCCATATAACTCGTAGCAAACTCATTCTTTTCTCAGGCGGTTTAGAAACTTCAGCTGGTGCAGGATTCAGCAGGCAGACTGCTCACCGGAGCAAGGCAGTTCAAGCCCTCTGGGTTTGTGCAGCCCTGTGGGTGCACCAGGGGCAGCTTCCTAGTCTTTGTCTCCTCTCGGAGGAGGCTCAACCCACCCTCACCTCTCCCATCACGGCGATGGGCGTCTCCCCCGTCGCTTGAGCCACGCGATGCTCCACCAGGTAGAACATGTACTCGTCGTAGAGCAGGCGGATCAGGTGAAAGGAGCCGAAGCTGGCAGCGCTGCGCAGGGTGAGGTCTCGGATCACCATGGAGCTGTCGAGGGACAACACACACACACACAAAACCCGCTATCAACGCGATGCAGAGTTAACTTGCTGCAGCACGCAGGGGGTCGGAAGGAAAGCGACCGGGGGTTTGACCCCGGGTGGCAACAGGGCCTGACCTGTAGAAGGACCACTTCAGCAAGAACTGCCTGGCGGCCTTTGGGAAGCCGGCCCCTCCTTCGTGGTGCTTCAGGACCTGGGTCACCACGTTGTCCAGCCAGCTGGCCCACTGGTCCAAAGAGCTCTGCTGCTGGAGGGTCAGCTTGAAATCATGCTCCAGTTTCTGCACCAGGCCCTCCTCGCACTGGCACACCCATGAGGCTTGCTCCTGGACCAGCGAAAGAAAGAAAGAAAGAAAGAAAGAAAGAAAGAAAGAAAGAAAGAAAGAAAGAAAGAGAGGTGTACATATACAGTCAGACCTCGGGTTTAAGTTGCTTCAGGTTGAGCGTTTTCGGGTTGTGCTCCGCAGCGACCCGGAAGTAACGGAACACGTTACTTCCAGGTTTCGCCACTCGCACATGCGCAGGCGGTCAAAATGACGCCACGCGCATGCGCAGAAGCGGCGAATTGCGACCCACACAGACGCGGGGTGCGTTTGCTTCAGGATGCGAACGGGGCTCTGGAACGGATCCCGTTCGTATCCAGAGGTACCACTGTAATAAATAATAAACTTTTACTTGTATCCCGCACTCCCCAGCCGAGACCGGGCTCAGGGTGGCGAACATCAAATATAAACATTGATTTAAAAAATCAAACAATACTTAAATCACCTCTTAAAAACAAGTCAGGGTAAAAATTAAAATCTGAATTAGATGGGTTTCCGCAGGATTTGGGTTGAGTAAGTGCTCATTGGCCCAACTGTTTACGCTGCTTTTAGATGGGCCTGTGAGAATGCTGGGAGGCCTCTTTCGTACTAGTTCTTATACAAAAAGGGGAGTCAGGCTGAGTCCTGACCAAAGGCCTGGGCAGAACAACTCCGTCACAGGCCCTGCGGAAACATGTCAAACCCTGCAGGGCCCTGATCTCTTGTGGCAGAGCGTTCCACCAGGCCAGGGCCAACGCCGAAAAGGCCTTGGCTCTGGTCGAGGCCAGCCTAATCTCCCTGAGGCCCGGGATCCCCAGGATGTTATTATTTGCAGACCGTAAGGTCCTCCGTGGGGCATACCAGGAAAGGCGGTCCCGCAGGTACGAGGGTCCTAGGCTGGTTATGCTCATGCACGGGTGCTCAGCTCTGCCAGCATGGGGGATGGAGCATAAAAACAAAAGGGGAAAAGGAGGAACAAAATAATAAAAATTCCTTCCAGTAGCACCTTAGAGACCAACTAAGTTTGCTCTGGGTATAAGCTTTCGTGTGCATGCACACTTCTTCAGATACACTGAAACAGAAGTTACCAGACCTTTATATATAGTGGGAGGGTGGGGAGGGGTATTACTCAGAAGGGTGGTGGCAATGGATGATTCTATGAGGCGTTCACAAAGTAAAGGAAGGATTGAACTCTGATTAATAAGAATACACACAGAGGCTTGAACCAGCAAGACTCTGGGAAGGGTGCGTATAATAATCTCTCTGTGTCTCTCTACCCCTCGGCCCAGGTCGTTTTATTCACAAAAGAACTTTTTACAGAGTGTCCATAAGAACCAATCAGATTTCTTCTGAGCTTTTCAGCAAACCCCACGTGGGGACAAAGTTAAACTACAAACACTAGTTAGGCATGCATACTTTTGGGTAAATGAATGAAAACTACAAAGGACTGTACAGTGGTACCTCGCAAAACGAATGCCTCGCAAGATGAAAAACTCACAAGACGAAAGGGTTTTTGGTTTTTTGAGTTGCTTCGCAAGGCGATTTTCCCTATGGGCTTGCTTCGCAAGACGAAAACGTCTTGCAAGTTTGTTTCCTTTTTCTTAAAACCGTTAATACAGTTGCGACTTGACTTTGAGGAGCAACTCATAGCACGCGGTGTGGTAGCCTTTTTTGAGGTTTTTGAAGACTTTGGTGATTTTTGAAGCTTTTCCAAAACTTTTCCGAAACCGTGCTTCGCAAGACGAAAAAATCGCAAGACGAAAAAACTCGCGGAACGAATTAATTTCGTCTTGCGAGGCACCACAGTATTCAGCAACCCGGGAGGTCATAAACAATCAATACACATGATAAGAAGGATGTCCAGGAGGACAGCGATCATTATCACCTTTATGTGAAACCTGTTCCCTAAGATTAACATCCTAAGATTAACATATCAGAAAAGCTACAGCAAAGAAACTGCCCACTGTCTTTGATGACCTAGGAGCCTGCCTGTCTAAGTGTGTACGTGACTTGTGAAGAAAGAGAAATGGAACAGGGATGCAGAGGTGTGGACTGATCAAGAATCATATCAAAATAGTTTAAACCCAGTCAACGCAATGCTTTCATTGCTGACACAGATGGCTTACTCTATGTTTGTTATAATTCCTCAAAGCAATCCCACCCGATCACTACAGTTCTATGATGCTGCGATGCTTTGGCTCACCTGGACGTTAGCAAAATCCACCCGGTTGAGGTCACTGAGCATCTGGTTGATCTGCGAGGTGTTCTGGAGGACGGCGCGAGCCGCCTGCGCCAGGTGGTTGAGGGAGGTGTACCTGCGGAGAGTCTGTGCAAAGGCGCTCACCACACCCACCTGGTGTGTTCGGGAGGTGGTGACAGGGATTGGGGACGAGAGAGAGAGAGAGAAAGAGAGAAACAAAAAGTGAGGCCAAACTCGGAGAACGTGATGAGAAAATTGGTTGTGGAAAACTGTTATGAAGGAATGGGTTTCCCAAACCCCAAAACCTGACTGTGCAGTCAGTCTGGAACGGGCCCCAAAACCCCCATTTTTCCTTCTCCAAGGGAGCATTTCTAAAATGCATTAACTTGAGCTCTTGAGACAATGTATGAACAGAAACCCAGCTGTATAAACAAGTGCTCAAAGCCCTCTTGTGATGGCCTGGGATTCCGAGTCTGAGAGTGAACCGGAGGAATCCCAGCCGGCACAGGAGTCCCCGCCTCCAGGGCCGGCTGAACTGGGGCAAGGCCTAGATTCTGAGGAGCCTGCACCTGTGCCAGATCCTCAGGAGCAGGCACCAGGTGAATCCATTCTGGCCCCAGAGGTGGTTGAGGACTCAGTGTCTACAGGTGAGTCTCCCCCGGGGCCCAGTAACCCTTCGGCCTCTCCTGAACTGCAGAGGCTTAGGGCAGAGAGGCGAAGGGAACTGGTTTCTCCCAGGAGGAGTGCTCGCCTTAAGGCCAGGAGAGGCGGGGCTCCTGGGGGCCGGGGACCGCCCCTGGCCTTAGAAGAAGATAAAGGTCAGTCAGCCCGGTCCCAGGTTGCGGGAGCAACGTCGTTGTGGAGTACCTGTTCTTACCCGGACCTAGATCTGCATTTCCAGTGTTCCTGTTCCTCGCCCGGCTTCCTGCTTCTGACCTTCCAGCGTTCCTGTTCCCGCCCGGCTCCCTGTTTCGGACCTTCCAGTGTTCCTGTTTCCTGCCCAGCTTCCTGCCTCTGATCTTCAAGTGTTCCTGACCCCGCCCGGCTCCCTGTTTCGGACCTTGCGTCTCATCTTGTGAACTTCTACCCGGCTAGTGACTCAGGACTGAACTTTGGCTACGGTAATAGTACCTTCCCCCCCGGGACCAGCACACCTCTCCTTTATCAGTTTGTGACGGCAATGGATGGCCTTGTCAGTTCCGAGTGGAGCAGGGATGGCACATCTGGATCTTATCTTACATCCTGACCACACTGACACACAGACCTTGTCAGCCCGGGAACGGCGCCAGGAGTGGTCTTAGAGTTGGTGACCTTCTTACCCCAAGATAAGGAATACAGGAACAGGAAACCCTTTTGAAGGTCAAGAGTACAGGAGCAGGAACATCTGTGATGTCAACTTACGTCTATAAGCTTACGTGTCTGCACTCCTGGGGAAGGGAGGAGAGGGTGCCTGGAGGATATATATACTGCATGAAATTTCTCATTTCTTTGGATTTGCTGTGGACTGACCACGCAAGTGCCTTCTGCTATCCGGAGAGCAGAATAAACTCTTTCTCTGAACCAAACCCGTCCGGGAGCTACGCAGACCCCACCAACAGGTCTAATAAGGCTACAGTTACAATGATATACACTGAAATTCAGCCAGGGGGATTTGAGGAAGTCACTTAACAATGTTACTAAGATTGGATTAAAGTACACTATGTTGGAAATGTAAAGAAGAAGAGGGTACCTTTTATCATATGTGGTGGACCTGCCCCAAGGTGAAAGACTTCTGGGAGAAGATTTATAACGAATTGAAAAAAAATGTTGAAATATACATTTATTAAGAAACCAGAGGCCTTTCTTCTTGGAGTAACAGGTTTGGAATTGCCCAAGAAAGATGTTAAATAATTTTTGTATGCCACAACTGCAGCAAGAAATTTTGTAGCGAAGAATTGGAAAACACAAGAAGTACCAAAAGTGGAAGAATGGCAGATGAAGATGATGGATTTTTCCGAGCTAGCCGACCTGACCGGAAGAGTCTGTGACCAGAAGGAGGAGGAGTACCAGGAAGAATGGATAAAATTTAAAGACTATTTAGCTAAATACGTTAAGATAACCTAATTGGAAAAGCTTGCAAATGCGAGATAGGCTTAGGATTTAAATATGTAAGGACAGGAATTAAGATGTTTAAAGCCAGATTAGAAGGAATGAAACATGTTAAGTGATCAAGATAATTTTTCTTTGAGAAGATAGATTTTGGAAAACAGTTAAAATGATATATAATGAAATTCAATCAGAGGGATTTGAGGAAGTCACTTAACAATGTTACAAAGGTTGGTTTAATTATAAACACGATGTATGTTTGCTTGTTTTAATTTTTGGGGAAAATCAATAAAAAAATTTGGGGGGGGGGAATTAACTCAGAGAACGTGAAGCAGAGAGTGGAGGAAATGCAAGAGATGTAGGGTTGTGTTTCATTTATTTATTAAATTTATACAAAGGTAAATATAAAAATTTGGGGGGGGGAGGGACACGGGTGGTGCTGTGGTCTAAACCACTGAGCCTCTTGGGCTTGCCGATAAGAAGGTCGGCGGTTCGATTCCCCACAACGGTGTAAGCTCCCGTTGCTCTGTCCCAGCTCCTGCCAACCTAGCAGTTCGAAAGCACACCAGCGCAAGTAGATAAATAGGTGCCGCTGCGGCGGGAAGGTAAACTGTTTTCTCTTTTTGAGACTTTGAAAAAAAGTTTTTCTTAAAAAAGGAAATTTGTGCTGCCGGAAAATCAGCTTTCAAAAACCCCTGTCAATTGCCAGGGTTTTCGATAACTGAGGCTAGGCTATGAGGACCCAGGGACCGGTTCCAAACGCAGCTGCCCCAAAGCTGTTCAGACTGTAATAATAATAATAATAATAATAATAATAATAATAATAATAATAATTAATAATAATAATAATTTATTATTTGTACCCCGCCCATCTGGCTGGGTTTCCCCAGCCACTCTGGGCGGCTTCCACAGAGACCAAAAATACACTAAAATGTCACACATTAAAAACTTCCCTGAACAGGGCTGCCTTAAGATGTCTTCTGAATGTCAGGTAGTTGTTTATCGCTTTGACATCTGGTGGGAGGGCGTTCCACAGGGCAGGCGCCACTACCGAGAAGGCCCTCTGCCTGGTTCCCTGTAGCTTTGCTTCTTGCAATGAGGGAACCACCAGAAGGCCCTCGGAGCTGGACCTCAGCGTCCGGGCAGAACGATGGGGGTGGAGACGCTCCTTCAGGTATACTGGACCGAGGCCGTTTAGGGCTTTAAAGGTCAGCACCAACACTTTGAATTGTGCTCGGAAACGTACTGGGAGCCAATGTAGGTCTTTCAAGACCAATGTAATGTGGTCTTGGCGGCCGCTCCCAGTCACCAGTCTAGCTGCTGCATTCTGGATTAGTTGTAGTTTCCCGGGTCACCTTCAAAGGTAGCCCCACATAGAGCGCATGGCAGTAGTCCAAGCGGGAGATAACTAGAGCAGGAAGGAAAGGGATGCAACTCGCCGCACCCGCTGCTTACCTTTGTCTGGACGATCTGCTGGGGGAAGTCGCTCATGGCGTTTATTAGCCAGCCTTCCAAACTTTTGGCAAAGTTGCGGATGGCCTGGGTCAACGTGCCTGCAGGGACAAAGCGAGATTTAAACAGAGCAGCCTCGCCAGGCTGGCAAAACCTTCACAGCACCCCACATTCCCCCCTCCCTCTTTAAATTCTAAAGTTTCGCCCAAGAAAGCAAAATCTGCAAGATCAACGATTAGCAAGGGAGGAAACGAGGCCAGGGTGCTGCCAGTGAAGTCACAAGAGAAGAAGAAGAGATATAGAATCCTTCTGAATAATGCAGGGCCGGGAGGGGGGGGGGCGGTGAACTTTAATACAGCCGAAGAATATGAAAATGCAATCCAAGTAGATACTAAGGTAAAGGTAAGGGGACCCCTGACCATTAGGTCCAGTCGTGACCGACTCTGGGGTTGCGGCGCTCATCTCGCTTTATTGGCCGAGGGAGCCAGCGTACAGCTTCCGGGTCATGCGGCCAGCATGACTGAGCCGCTTCTGGCGAACCTGAGCAGCGCACGGAAAAGCCGTTTACCTTCCCGCCGGAGCGGTACCTATTTATCTACTTGCACTTTGACGTGCTTTCGAACTGCTAGGTTGGCAGGAGCAGGGACTGAGCAACGGGAGCTCACCCTGTCGCGGGGATTTGAACCGCTGACCTTCTGATCGGCAAGCCGTAGGCTCTGTGGTTTAACTCACAGCGCCACCTGCGTCCCTTAGTAACACCTTAGAGACCAACTGAGTTTGTTATTGGTATGAGTTTTCATGTGCATGGTATCTGAAGAAGTGTGCATGCACATGAAAGATAACAATAATAATAATAATAATAATAATAATAATAATAATAATGATAATGCTGCAAGGCTGATGCTCTGCCCCCTTAAGGAGCCAGAAATGTCCCTTGCACAGGGTGAAAATAATTTAGGCACTTTAAGCAGATGAAAAGAGCAAGAAGGAGCCTTGAGAGGGAGGGAGGGAGACAGAGAGAGAGAAATAGATTTAGCGGCGTCCTCCCCATTCTGTACTCACTGGGAACAGGCCGGAGAACATCTGGGATGAGGATCTCCACAAGCGTCTGGTACAAGATGTGGTCGCAGCCCCGCATCCATTTCATGATGGGGACGTATTTGCACATGGCGATCAGCTTGTGCCTCGGGACGAGGGCGTCGCAGGGCTCTTCGCTGCACGAAAAAGAACAAGGGTGAGGGTCAGCAGCCCCTCGGCTTCCGAAAATTGAAACACGGGGGGCGGAGGAAGGCAGGTAAAGGACCCCTGGGTGGTTAAGTCCAGTCAAAGGCAACTATGGGGTTGCGGCCCTCATCTCACTTTCAGGCCGAGGGAGAAGACGTTTGTCCACAGATGGGTTTCTGGGTCATGTGGGCAGCAGGACTAAACCGTTTCTGGCGCAACGGGACACCGTGACGGAAGCCAGAGTGCACAGAAACGCTGTTTACCTTCCCGCTGGAGTGGTACCTATTTATCTACTTGCACTGGCGTGCTTTCGAACTGCTAGGTTGGCAGGAGCTGGGACAGAGCAACGGAGCTCACCCCGTCACGGGGATTCGAACCGCCGACCTTCCGATCGGCAAGCCCAAGAGACTCGGTGGTTTAGACCACAGCGCCACCCGCATCCCATGAAGGCAGGAAGGGGGACAACAGAGCAGAACAAGCTAGGGATGCCAGGCGGCTTTTTGAGCTAGTACTGGAGCGAGGAAGGAAGGGGATTCACAGTGAGAAGCCGCACCCGCAAAGATATCCTTGCAAAACATAGTTTGCACATTAGGATTGCACCTTTTTGACTCCCCCCCCCCAAAAAAATCCAATTTCCTGTATCATAAAGGGATGATACAGGAACGGGACGCGGGTGGCGCTGTGGGTAAAACCTCAGCGCCTAGGACTTGCCGATCGTCAGGTCGGCGGTTCAAATCCCCGCGGCGGGGTGCACTCCCGTCGTTCGGTCCCAGCGCCTGCCAACCTAGCAGTTCGAAAGCACCCCCGGGTGCAAGTAGATAAATAGGGACCGCTTACAGGCGGGAAGGTAAACGGCGGTCTGTGTGCTGCGCTGGCTCGCCAGATGCAGCTTTGTCACACTGGCCACGTGACCCGGAAGTGTCTCCAGACAGCGCTGGCCCCCGGCCTCTTGAGTGAGATGGGCGCACAACCCTAGAGTCTGGCAAGACTGGCCTGTACGGGCAGGGGTACCTTTGCCTTTAAAGGGATGAACTCCTGCTTAGAAACACTGCAAAAAGAGACTAATTCTTCTCCGATGTGAAAAAAGGTCACCCCAAAATGCAAAGCTGGAATCACTGTACTGTGGTACCTTGGTTTACAACCATAATCCGTTCCGGAGGTCCGTTTGTAAACCAAAACATGTTGTAACCCAAGGCGTGCTTTCGCCAATGGGGCCTTCAAAACAAATTTGTTCATAATCAAAAAAAAAAGAAAAAAGGGTTGTAATCTAAAAAAAGGTTGCATGTTTGACGTGTTTGTAATCCAAAACGTATGCAAACCAGACTGTTGCAAACCAAGGTACAACTGTATATGTAACTGGATGGAAATGACTTCAAGAACTTGTCAGAAATATTGAAACCATACGCAACCTTGATTTATTCTAAGCCATAAAAAGTGATGTACTATGTGGAAACATTGGCAGCATTAAGATAAATTCAACAGTGCAACTAAGTTTTGATGGGTGCAATAATGGAATACTGAATGGTTTAGATTGTCTAAAATACGCAGGGATTTATGATATGCAAAATGAACCATGGAAAGAGAAGAGGGGAAGTCCCTGATATCTTAAAGATGCTTAAGTTAGTATTTTAAATTGGAAAACTGAAAATTTAATTAACAAATTAAATATTATGTCATATGTACAAAGTGTCGTACGTGGCTTAGAAAATCTGCAAGCTCCGTTTTTCCTGTACACAATTATGATTATCGTGCATAATTACATAATGCATTATGCAGTTACATATACAAAAATCAATTCATTGATTTCGGGGTGACCTTTCCCCCAAGGAAGATTTGGAAGCGACAGTTCATTCCTTTGTTTACAGGCCAAAGTTCGTCTAACTAAGCTGCAGGAACATGAGGTTGCAAAAAAAGAAGTTATAACCGTATTGCACAAAGCGGCAATGTAACGATTCACTCATTCCGCCAACACACTTTTAAGGCCAAGGGCGGGGAATTCTCATGGCCAGCTGAGGTCATGGCTGCCAGGACACCTAATGCAAAATACAAGCATTTTGCAAACTTCAGTCGGGAAGCTTCAGTTTCATTATTTATTGGGGGGAGATGATAAACTGCTTATCGATCGAGTTCTTACAGACACGGTGTCGGGCTTTCCTTTGCTCAGGAGACACACAATCCCTAGAAATGGCCGTAGGTTTTTGACTGTGAGATGAAGTAGGGAATCTACTCTTCTTTAATATGTAGAATTTTCAATGAAATTGTTGTTGCTGTGGGAGGGCAGGTTGCGCAGCGTGGTGATTTACCTGGAAGGCACGGCAGCAGAGGCCGATTCGCTCGAATGGGACTCCGAGTTCCAGAAAGACTGCCATAGCTTCTCGATGTAAGGGAACTGTAGGCTCATTACGACGTCCACGTTCGCCTGGGGAGAGAGAGGGAAATGTAGCGCGGCAAAGCCCAGAAATGGAAGCAAGAAGAGATTACGGCGAAAGAAGAATGGCAAAGAAAAATTAATGGACTACGCAGATAAAACGACAGGAAGGATTTGAAACCTGCGGGACCAGAGATTTACAGAAGATTGGAAGAAATATACAGTGGTACCTCGGGTTAAATACGGGTCCGTTCTTAACCTGAAACTGTTCTTAACCTGAAGCGCCACTTTAGCTAATGGGGCCTCCCACTGCCGCCGCGCCGCCGGAGCACGATTTCTGTTCTCATCCTGAAGCAAAGTTCTTAACCCGAGGTACTATTTCTGGGTTAGTGGAGTCTGTAAACTGAAGCGTCCGTAATTTGAAGCGTCTGTAACCCGAGGTACCACTGTACAGTCGTACCTTGGATCTCAAACGCCTTGGTACTTGGAACGTTTTGGCTCCCGAACAACGCAAACCTGGAAGTGAGTGTTTTCCGGTTTGCGAACGGTTTTTGGCAGCCGAACGTCCGACGCAACTTCCACAGCTCCCGATTGAGTGCAGGAATTTCCTGCAGCCAATTGGAAGCCACACCTCGGTTTCAGAACATTTCTGGAAGTCGAACAGATTTCCGGAACGGATTCGGTTTGAGAACCAAGGTACGGCTGTACAGAAAGGCGGTATACAAATTAAAAGTAAAATGAAACATGCATTGAATAATACAAATTACCGTATATTTCCGTGTATAAGGCTAGGTTTTTAAACCAAAAAAAAAAAAGGTTTAAAATTGGGTCTCGTCTTATAGTGCTGAGGGGTGTTTTCTTAATTTGGAGTCCCCAAAAACAGGGGACGTCTTATACATGGGAGCGTCTTATGCACAGAAAAATATGGTACGTAGGTGGTTTTTGTTGAAATACGGCACCCTTTTATAAAACACTTTACTAAGAACCCTGAAGAATGGCAACCGCCTTTGGCAAACTTAACCAGATTGATCAGTCTTGGGCGCCGAGCTATGATTTTCGTTTTTGCATCCTTTTCTCTCTCTCTTTGTAAGTGTCATTCACTGGAGATCGATAAACCTGCTTTAAAATCACCTCGCAATGCCGCCTGTAGAGGACCTGAAGAGTCTTGACGTCGCTCGCGTCGATTCCCTCCTGCAGGAGCACGTTTTCCAGATCGAGGGCTGGGAATGCAGGGAGGATGTGGGTGACGTCTGCAGGGGAGGGAGAAAATCAGAAATCAGAAAGACCAAAACTTTAAAAAGGAATGGGGGGGGGGCGGGTGGATTATAATCCGGGCACAGGCAAACTCGGCCCTCCAGATGTTTTGGGACTACAACTCCCATCATCCCTGACCACTGGTCCTGTTAGCTAGGGATGATGGGAGTTGTAGTCCCAAAACATCTGGAGGGCCGAGTTTGCCTGTGCCTGTTTTCGGGAGCAGGCTAGCAGGCCGGGCCCATGACTTACATCATAGGAACCTACACAACACAAAACACTGTTGCTGTATGTAGGTTTTATTTTATTCGTTTTTTATCTTCTATTTTGGAAATGTACATCCTTTAAATTTTCCGGGGGCCCCCCAAGAGAGTGGGGCCCTAAGCTATAGCTTGCTTAGCTTATACGTAAATCTGACACTGTATATACCCACATGAGCTCCCGTTACTCGGTCCCTGCTCCTGCCAACCTAGCAGTTCGAAAGCACATCAAAGTGCAAGGAGATAAATAGGTACCGCTCCGGCGGGAAGGTAAATGGCGTTTCTGTGCGCTGCTCTGGTTGGCCAGAAGCGGCTTAGTCCTGCTGGCTACATGACCCGGAAGCTGTACACTGGCTCCCTCGGCCAGTAAAGCGAGATGAGCACCGCAACCCCAGAGTCGGTCACGACTGGACCTAATGGTCAGGGGTCCCTTTACCTTTACATACGCACATATATTTATTTATACAGACACACACACACCATTATTGATTCCCTAATCACAGAATTATGGAGTTGGAAGGGACCCGCAAGGATCATCGAGTCTGACTCCCCACAATGCACGAATTCGCAGCCACCCCATACAGGGATCGAACCTGCAACCCTGGCATTAGATAGCTCCTCACCAATGAACTGCTGGTGGTGCTGGCTTTGCGCAGCGACGGATTGCTCGGGCGTGGAGTGAAGGCTGCTGTTCGAACCGGCCTCCGCCAGGCCGTCCAACTTCTGCGAAGGTCTGTACCTGCAGTCGGGAGGGACGAAAGCGTCAAACTGAGACTTCCATTTCTTCAACACTGCTCCAAATCTCCTCATCGCTTTGGATTATTTCTCTCCTTTTTTAAAGGATCTGATTTCTTTCCACAGGGTCTGTAAGACAGGGTTCTTCCGCCTGGCCTTTGGCTTGGAGCCAATTTGATTCCCTCCCGCTCTTTCTTTTTTCCTTTCTCCTCCTGTGATGAGGCTGCATTTTAATATTTTAATGTTTCAATATTTTAATGTTGTATTTTAATCTTGTTTTTAAGTTGTATTCATTCAACTTGTTTTTATTATTGCTTGCTAGCCGCCCTGAGCCCGGCCTTGGCTGGGGAGGGCGGAATACAAATAAAAATTATTATTATTATTATTATTATTATTATTATTATTATTATTATTATTAAAGTCACGGCAGACATCTGTTGAGGCATTTTGAGCTGGCATTTCTTCTAATGACACACACTTCTTTTTTTGCAAGCATTGCTAGCGCAGCGCATTCCTGCACGCAGTTTTCGCTAACGCACACGTTTTTAGACACCTCAAGCACGTGTTGTTCGGTTGGGGAAACGGCAACATTCAAAGTGTGTATTTCGAACGACGGCTGCATCTTGGTTTAAGCACTGCTCCTGAGCAAAAGCAAGGTTCTGGTTAAAATGTGAGCTCAGGCGGCCTTCTTGGCCAGTGGCTACAACCAGGAACACTCAAAAAAACCCAGAGTTTTGTTTTGTTTCTTCTCAGGAATTGAGAAGACAAGAAATTTAAAAAAAATGTTTACAATGTAGATACAAAACCATTGTAAACAGGCCAAAATAGTTGCAGGATTTTAAACACACTTGTAATGTTAACAGAATGTATAGCTAATCTAGGAAGATGGAAAATTGGAGAAGTATCGATATGCGACAACGGCCGCAAGAGTTCTAATAGCACAAGGATGGAAGACTGAAGAAACCGCAACTAAAGAATCATGGCAAGAAAAATTGATGGACTATGCAGAACTGGCAAAATTGACATATAAACTACAGGAAAAGGATAACTGTGACTTTAAAGATGAATGGGAACCCTTTACAAAGTATCTGAAGGCGCAACAAAGCGAACTCCTTGGCAGGTTTTGAATAAACATTCACAAACTTTTTATTGATAATAATCAGCTAAATAGTTTGAGGATCTTCTATACAACTGTGTAACATGCAGAAACAGCATTCTTAGAGAAACCAAAGACTGGAACTGAGGGAAGTCGGGGGGGTGGGTTCTGTGGGGGGAGGGAGGAAAAATGGGGGGAATAAGGATGATATGTTTCTGGATAATACGTTTTGTATTAATTTTGAATAAAAACATATATTAGCAGGATTTTAAACACACTTGTAATGTTAACAGAATGTATAGATAATCTAGGAAGATGGAAAATTGGAGAAGTATCGATATGCAGTTGAAAACAGGACCCCTGGAAGGGATGGGGAGAAGTCAGGAGATTCAGAGTAATCTCAGTAATTAGATTTGGAAATGGTTTTGTTGTATGTTTATATTTTTGGGAAATCAAATACCTTTGTTTCTGGTGGATGGGCTGCTGCCTCATCGCCATATACTGAGCATCTTCCTGCAAGCGGTTGAGTGGGGAGTCTGGCTTGAGGCGGATCCCGTAGTAATGGTATTTGGAATTTCCCCTGAGAGGGAAAAGATCGGTTAAGTCAAAACAACAACCTACCGTATTTTTCGCTCCATAGGGTGCACCGGACCATAGGGCGCACCTAGTTTTTTTGGGGGAGGAATAAAGGGGGGGGGAATCCCCCCCAGCCCCAAAGAGCAAAGAAGCCAAGACAGCGAGCAGGATCCATCCCACTGGCTGCCTTGGCTTCCTCTTTAGCTGCGCACAACCTCTCCAGTCGGGAGGATCCCGCTCGCTGTCTTGGCTTCGTTTTTAGCCGCGGGGCTGGGGCGGGGGAAGCCCGAGCTTCCCCCGACCCCAGAACGGGTCCGGGAGCCTTTGCTCCCAGAGCTTGCTGCTATCCGCAAGCCTTCTGAGCCCGATGGGAACCTGCAGGCTGCAAACCGCAAGCCTTCAGAGCCCGGCGGGAACTCCCGCCGTGCTCTGAAGGCTTGCGGATAGTTGCCCGAAGCCCGGGGTGCGCAGCGCTGCGCTCCCCGGGATTCAGGCAACTATCCGCAAGCCTTCAGAGCACGGCGGGAGTTCCCGCCGCGCTCCGAAGGCTTGCGGATAGCTTCCTGAAGCCTGGAGAGCGAGAGGGGTCGGTGCTCACAGACCCCTCTCGCTCTCTAGGCTTCAGCGAAAGCCTGCATTCACTCCATAGGGCGCACACAGATTTCCCCTTCATTTTTGGAGGGGGAAAGTGTGTCCTATAGAGCGAAAAATACGATAACCAGCAACTTGCAAGTCTAGGGTTTTCATGTCGCCGGGTTCTGAGTTTGAAGTCTCCGAGCACCCGTCGTAGAAAGTTCTGCTGTACCAGGTCAGGCCCCTTGGCCCATGTTGACTGGCATTGCTTTCACTGGCTGGCAGGCGCTCTCCAGAATTTCAATCAGGAGGGAGTTTCCAGTGCTACCTAGCAGCGGCTCTGTGGTGTTTCAGACAGTAGAGGCAGAACACGTGCTTTCTCCCACTGTATTATTATTACAATGGTTGCCATCAATTTGATTTCAACTGATTTTATAACGAATTGATTTTAGAACGCTGTATTATTTTACTGTTGTTAGCCGCTCATCTGGGGAGGGCGGGATATCAATAAAATTTTATTATTATTATTTTATTATATGCTGGCTGAGAGCCTCCCTGCCCGCGGACTGTCTCTCCAGAGTGGCGCATGCCCTGGTTATCTCCCGCTTGGACTACTGCAGTGCGCTCTGCGTGGGGCTACCTTTCCAGTGACCCGGAAACTGCAACTAATCCAGAATGCAGCAGCTAGGCTGGGGACTGGGAGCAGCTGCTGAGACCACATAACACCGGTCTTGAAAGACCTACACTGGATCCCAGTATGCTTCTGGGCACAACTAAAAGTGTTGGTGCTGACCTTTATAGCCCTAAATGACCTTGGCCCAGGATACCTGAAGGAGTGTCTCCACCCCCATCGTTCACTGAGGTCCAGCTCTGAGGGCCTTTTGGCGGTTCCGTCCCTGCGAGAAGTGAGGTTACAGAGAACCAGGCAGAGGGCCTTCTCGGTGGTGGCACCCGCCCTCTGGAACACCCTCCCACCAGATGTCAAGGAAATAAACAACTACCTGACTTTTAGAAGACATCTGAAGGCAGCCCTGTTAAGGGAAGCTTTTAACGTTTGATGTTTTATCACTTTATTATTATTAGTAGTAGTAATATTCTGTTGGGAGCCACCCAGAGTGGCTGGGGAAACCCAGCCAGATGGGTGGTGTATAAATAACAAATTATTATTATTATTATTATTATTAGCAATTGTCCTTCCTTAACCCTCCCTACCCCAGCAGGATTCTAGTCCTCAGGCTCAAAAAACAAAGGGCTGGCTTTAAATAATGAAGGAATAGGTTTCTGTGCGGTCAGTTTGAAATGGGACCCAAAATCCACTTTTATTTCCTTTTCCAAGGGAACATTTCTATAATGCTTTAACTTGAGCTCTTGAGCCAAAACCCAGCTGCATAAACAAGTGCTCAAAGCTCTCTCCCTTATCAGTCCATGAAGGCCGGTAATGACGGATGGCCTTGTCCGTTCCACAGTGGAATTGGGATGACACGTCTGGGCCTTATCTTACATCCTGACCACAGACCTAGTCCAGGAACAGCGCCAGGAGTTGGTGACCTTCTTACCCCAAAATAAGAGTGCCGGAACAGGAATACCCTTATATGGTCAAGAGTATAGGAAGGAACACCCTTTTATGGTTAAAAGTACCGGAGCAGGAACATCTGTGATGTCAACTTACTTGTATAAGCTGACGTGCTTGAATTCCTGGGGAAGGGGGGAAAGGGTGCCTGGCACATATATATACTGCATGAAATTTCTCATTTCTTTGGACTTGCTGTGGACTGACCACGCAAGTGCCTTTCTGCTGCTCCAGAGAGCAGAAATAAAGAACTCTTTCTCTGAACGAACCCTCGGTGTCATTTGACTCCCTTCCTCCCGTCCGGGAGCAACGCAGAGCCCACCAATCGGTAAAGTCTAATAAGGCTACAATAAGAACGCTGGAAGTGGCCTTACGATAACTGGGTCCATTTAGCTGGGCACTGCAGCTCTCATGGGGTCTTTCGCGGCCCTGCCTAGAGACAATGGGGGTTGCACAGGCTTGGAGAGAATGCCCTCCAGCGCTGAGCTGCAGTCCCTAGAAATAAAGGTAAGTTTCCGGTCCTCAGGGTTTTGAAGGGAGATCGGGCCCCAGTGTACGCAGAGGCCTCTTAAGCCCCCTCTGCCGCAACCCCGCCTGCCCTGCAAACCTTGTGCCAAGCCGGCGGGTCCTCAGTCCCATGAAGACGGAGCGGATCAGCTTCCCGAAGGACGCGGCATTCACGGGATCCAGCTTGTGCTCTTGGCAGTGGCGCAGGTAATGGTTATAGAGAGAGCTGCGGGGCAGGCTGACCCCTTCGGCCGTCTCGTAGTTGTCCAGCAGCCACTGAAGCTGCAGGTTTTATTTTTTTAAGGGGAGAGAAGGGGGAAGAGAGAATTTAAGAGGGTTTTGCATGCTGGGTCCCGCTCGTTCGCACGCGCACAGCTCCCACAGAGGACGCAATTGGAACCAAACATAAAAGAGAGCACTAGGGTAGTTCAGTTGGTTGGAGCATGGTGCTGACGACCCCAAGGTTGCAGGTTCAATTCCCGTATGGGGCAGATAATATTCCTGCATTGCAGGGGGTTGGGATAGATGATCCACAGGGGCCCTTCCAGCTCTACAAATCTATGATTCGATTCTATGAACCTCTCCCCCTACCACCAAGCAAACGCGCAAAAGGCAGCTGGCATCTTTTGCAAACCGCTTTGAGGGGTGTATAAATTTCATGTTGGAGAACAGCCTTTACCAAAGGTGTCGTGGGCCTTGAAGACGCTCGAACTCAGGACGCAAGGGAGAAACGCGCTAAGAGGAAGGCACGCTTGGCAAATCCACACCGTGATCAGCTCCCGCCCGGAAACTTACGTCCCCACTGCGGAAGGACGTGGGGATCCAGAATTGGCCTCCACAGTCACTTACGGACTCACTGTTAAAACCGTGTTTAGGGAAGGCAATCTTCCTCGGCTACGAGGGATCGCCGAAGAAATTTCATGCAATAAAATAAATTCTACTACGGTCTGATCGCAGGCCCCCAAAATGGTTGGACAGGGCAATTTTTTCCACTGTTGCAAGGGACAAAACCTGAATTTGTCGTGGGAAAACGGCAGCTTAGTGGTGGAGCAAGTGGACCCACAAAACTATTCAGGGCCAGACTAAAACTTCAGGCGCCCCCCGCCAACTCATGAACCAATGAAGCAGAGAACCTCATCCCTGCCAGTGTTTCATGCAGGAAACATGCTGGCGAGGGGCTGGCCTCTCTACCCACTGTTCAACTTTGCCAGGTTGGCGGGGGGGGGGGGCCCACCTGCAGGGACGGAGGAAGGGAGATGAAGATCTTGCCTGCCAGGCCAAAAACAGTTCCCTGACCCCGGCCTAACATGCTATAGGACGGCTTCAGACAGACCTAAGTTCAGAGTCTGCTCGATAACACACGCGCTGCAATACACCGCAGCTCTTTCCTGCCCTGCAACTGTTGCGTTGCTCCCTGCTCTTCCTCCCCTGAACCCAACAACTGAGAGAAGCTACCAAGAGCTCTGTGAAGGGCGAAGGAGCATGCAGTTAACTTGGCAGGTAGCAAGAAGAGGCACCACTTTAGGATAGGACAGAAAGAGGAGCCAAGCAGAGGACGTTCTGCTGTGACGGAAGACAGGGAAGGCTGCGGATAAGGGGGGCATTTCTGGAAGGAGCGGTGGACGAGAAGCAAAGCTTTGAAGGTGACTCGGAAGCTACAACTAATCCAGAATGCGGCAGCTAGACTGGGGACTGGGAGTGGCCTCTGAGACCATATAACACCAGTCCTGAAAGACCTGCATTGGCTCCCAGTACGTTTCGGAGTACAATTCAAAGTGTTGGTGCTGACCTTTCAATCCCTAAACGGCCTCGGCCCAGTAGACCTGAAGGAGCGTCTCCGCCCCCATCGTTCTGCCCGGACACTGAGGTCCAGCTCCGAGGGCCTTCTGGTGGTTCCCTCCCTGCGGGACGTGAGGTTGCAGGGAACCAGGCAGAGGGCCTTCTTGGTGGTGGCGCCCGCCCTGTGGAACGCCCTCCGGTCATATGTCAAAGGAGATATACAGCTACGCGACCTTCAGGAGATATCTGAAGGCAGCCAGGAAGTTTTAAATGTTTGATATTTGCTGTTTCTCCATTATGTTGGAAACCGCCCAGAGTGGCTGGGGAATAAATAAGAATATTATTATTATTTGCTGTGTTTTTATTATGTTGGAAGCCGTCCAAAGGTGCTAGGGCAACCCTGTCAGATGGGCGGGGTACAAGTAATTTTTAAAAAAGGTAAAGGTAAAGGACCCCTGGGTGGTTAAGTGCCAGTCAAAGGCGACTATGGAGTTACGGCGCTCATCTCACTTTCAGGCCGAGGGAGCCGGCGTTTGTCCACAGACAGCTTTCCGGGTCATGTAGCCAGCGGGACTAAACCGCTTGTGGCATAACGGGACACTGTGACGGAAACCACAGCGCACGGAAACGCCATTTACCTTCCCGCTGGAGCGGTAACTATTTATCTACTTGCACTGGCGTGTTTTCGAACTGCTAGGTTGGCAGGAGCTGGGACAGAGCAAGGGGAGCTCACCCCGTCGCGGGGATTCGAACCGCCGACCTTCTGATCAGCAAGCCCTAGGCTCAGTGGTTTAGACCACAGCGCTCCCAGTACAAGTAATTGATCGGTACCCAGCAGCACATACAAAGCAGTTAATATGCCACACAGGCTTAATGTTCGTGGGCGTCACAGTTTGGCCATTGCTGTGTCTTAGGCGGCCTGCCATCACGCATGCAGAAGGTCCAGGATTTCAACCCTTGGGATCCCCGGTAGGGTTGAGAGGGAGACCCCTACATGGAACCCCGGAGAGCTGCTGCCAGCCAGTGCGGGAAAACACTGAACTAAATGATTCAACAGCCTGGCTTGTCCATAGTAGCACCCCACCACTTCCTTTCAAATCAGCCCTTCGTTCGGAAGCACAGGGGCTAAAACGGGGCTTAGTTTATAGGGAGGAAACGGCAGCTCAGTGGCCAAGTTCACACATGAAAGGTCCTTGGCATCTCTACAATTCTACGATTGTATGACCCACTCTGCCCGAAACTGAGGTCCAGCGCCGAGGGCCTTCTGGTGGTTCCCTCACTGCGAGAAGCCAAGTTACAGGGAACCAGGCAGAGGGCCTTCTCGGTGGTGGTGCCCGCCCTGTGGAACGCCCTCCCACCAGATGTCAAAGAGAAAAATAACTACCAAACTTTTAGAAGACATCTGAAGGCAGCCCTGTTTAGGGAAGCTTTTAATGTTTAATAGGTTATTGTATTTTAGTGTTTTGTTAGAAGCCGCCCAGAGTGGCTGGGGAAACCCAGCCAGATGGGCGGAGTATAAATAATAAATTATTATTATTATTATTATTATTATTATTATTATTAACCCTGCAGAGCGGCTGCCAGTCAGTGCAGACAATACTGAGGTAGATGGATTTGATTAGGTACAAGGTTCCTATATTGCATTTTGGGAGTGGGGAAGCTTCCCAGCAGATGGCGTGGTCCTTTTTGACCACCTGCGGTCTATCTGTCTCTGCTGCCATCCAAAAAACCCTCGCCTTGCCTCGTGATGTGTGCGCCTCACAAGCTCAAAACCGGGGAGCACATTTACCGTATTTTTTGCTTTATAAGACTCACTTTTTCCCTCCTAAAAATTAAGGGGAAATGTGTGTGCGTCTTATGGAGCGAATGCAGGCTGCGCAGCTATCCCAGAAGCCAGAACAGCAAGAGGGATTGCTGCGTTCACTGCACAGCAATCCCTCTTGCTGTTCTGGCTCCTGAGATTCAGAATATATTTTTTCTTGTTTTCCTCCTCCACAAACTAGGTGCGTCTTGTGGTCTGGTGCGTCTTAGAGAGCGGAAAATACGGTGATTGGTGGATCTGCGGATGCCAGGGGTTCCGTTGCACCATTCGCGCAACAAAAGCTACCCTAGAAACGTCAAAAGCAGGGGGTGCACGGCTTGGCTTTTGGAAAAGAGCGGGGTCCGCAGTACTTCGCTAATTGGGAACCACTGATTTAATGAATCGTTTGCAGGGCTGAGGTTTGCTCCCGGCAACCGGGGGGGGGGGGGGGAGAGATACGTGCTTACTTTTCAAGTGCCACAAGATGCTCGGCTTGTGCTTCGCTGCAGTTAATATGGGATTCTGAAAAGCGCACAGAAGCTGGAAAACAGGGCGCCGGGGGGCGGGGGGGTTGGTCTACGGAGGAGCCAGGCAGGCGGGAGGCAAACTTACATGGCTGTTCAGCAAGCTGCTTTTGTGCGACGTTATGCCTTCATTTTTTTGGAGGTTTTCAATCGCCATTTCAAGCTGGAAAAGGGGCGGCAGCGAGGCCAGAGAGAGAGAGAGAGAGAGAGAGAGAAAAGAAGGGAAATCAGACATTCGGCAAACAGCCGGGGGGGACACCCGCTTGAGCCACCGTGAACCCCTTCCCTCAAACAGGCGAAGTGGGGCGTGGGATCAGGCACAGGAAAGCACGAATGTTACATTAGAAGGCATGCTAAAGAAGCCACACGGTGCGGGTGGTATTTTTTGGGGGGGAGCGGGTGCGAAAGAGAAAGAAGCAGCCCCTTGCGCTGCAAAGATAGGTTTATCAGGCGTTTATCATTGATTTAGAAGTCACATATCAAAATAGGAAGGCAGTGACGACTTGGGAGGTTGAAAGCAGAAAGGGTTTACTCGGACCCATTGGAATGAATGGGCCCAAATTGGCCAGGCTCACTCATTTCAATGGGTCCATCTAAAACCAGCATTGGATTTCAGTCTTTCGGTCTCTGCCCTTTTTCACGCGAAAAAGGAATCTGCCATCACCCCCCGCCCCCTTAAGTCTTCTCTTCTTCAGTATCGCTCAGCTCCTTCAACTTTTCCTCAAAGCAGTCCGATCATAGCTGTCAAGCGTCCCTTATTTGGCGGGACAGTCCCTTATCCCAGCACAGTGTCCCGCTGCTGTCCCTTATTGATGATGTCCCTTAAATTTCATGGGTTTAAAAGGAAGCATCTCCTCTCCCTCCTTCCCTGCCGGCCAGGGAGGAGGGAGCCTCCAGCTGTGTTGCTTGGTTGTGTTGCTCACCCAATAAGGAGTCTAAGAATGACTGAGTCTAAGAACCTTCTGATCGGCAAGCCCAAGAGGCTCAGTGGTTTAGACCACAGCGCCACCCACGTCCCTGCCCTCCTATTACTCAGCAGTGACACAGATGGGGAAGAACCCTAGACCAGGGGTAGGCAAACTAAGGCCCGGGGGCCGGATGCGGCCCAAATCGCCTTCTCAATCCAGCCCGTGGACAGTCCAGGAATCAGCGTGTTTTTACATGAGTAGAATGTGTGCTTTTATTTAAAATGCATCTCTGGGTTATTTGTGGGGCGTAGAAATTCATTCATATTTTTTTCCTCCAAAATATAGTCCGGCCCACCACATGGTCTGAGGGACGGTGGACCGGCCCACGGCTGAAAAACGTTGCTGACCCCTGCCCTAGACTGAGTTGACTCCACCTGCCACCAGCTCTGGCTCTAGCTACGGGTTCCGCCCTGCTAGTCCCAATGTCCAACAATCACCGCCACCTTCCCAAGTACGTTTCCGAGTGTTGGTGCTGGCCTTTAAAGCCCTAAACGTCCCAGTATACCTGAAGGAGCGTCTCCACCCCCATCGTTCAGCCCGGACACTGAGGTCCAGCTCCAAGGGCCTTCTGGCGGTTCTCTCATTGCGAGAAGTGAGGCTACAGGGAACCAGATGGAGGGCCTTCTTGGTAGTGGCTCCCGCCCTGTGGAACGCCCTCCCATCAGATGTCAAAGAGATAAACAACTACCTGACATTCAGAAGACATCTGAAGGCAGCCCTGTTCAGGGAAGTTTTTAATATGTAACGCTGTACTGTTTTTAACACTTGATTGGGAGCCGCCCAGAGTGGCTGGGGAAAGTCAGCCAGATGGGCGGGGTATAAATAATAAATTATTATTATTATTATTATTATTATTCGCTTGCAGGTGCCTGAAACCCACACACCCTTCTCAGAATGCACCTCAATGTGACTTCAGGGAGGCGGCGGTGGCAAGCCCCGACGTACCGTGGCTGGGGAGGAGCGCGAGGTGTGCGAGAGGGCGTGCCTGGCGCTCTCCATTCCGCTGTGGATGAGGTAGGCTCCCGAGCTGGACACGATCTGGCTTCCCCCGATGTCCATCGCGATGCCCACCATGCCGTGCGAGGGGATGGTGGTGGGCGACGAGGGCCCCGTGCTCACCTGAGAGCTGCCTCCCTGCGCTTCGAAGTAGGAGGAGGCGCTGCTGGGGGCGTAGATCTGAGCTTCCGTGTTGTAGGAATAAGCGGCACGTCTGCCGGAAGACCGGGGTTGGCGGGGGGGAGAGACAGGAGACAAAGTGACAAGGGGTTTAGTTACGAACACACGCAGTCAGGCAGGAGGGCCTTCCGAGAGGGTCCGTGAAGACCTAAGGGTTTGAAAGTACAGCGGTGCCCCGCAAGACGAATGCCTCGCAAGACGAAAAACCCGCTAGACGAAAGGGTTTTCCGTTTTTGAGTTGCTTCGCAAGACCATTTTCCCTATGGGCTTGCTTCGCAAGACAAAAACATCTTGCGAGTCTTGCGATTATTTTTTTTGCTCCCCCCCCTTTTTCTAAGCCGCTAAGCCGCTAATAGCCTTTTAGCCGCTAAGCCGCTAAGCCTTTAATAGCCGCTAAACCGCTAATAGCCCTAATCCGCTAATAGGGTTGCTTCGCAAGACGAAAAAACCGCTAGATGAAGAGACTCGCAGAGCGGATTATTTTCGTCTTGCGAGGCACCACTGTACAGTCATACCTCGGGTTGCAAACACTGCGGGTTACGTCTTTTCAGGTTGCGTCCCGCAGCGACCCAGAAGTACAGGAAAGGGCTACTTCCGGGTTTTGCCGCTCGCACATGCAGAGGCAGAAGTTTTTGGGTTTTTTTTTACTGTTTTATTAAATTTGCTTAGTAACATAACATTATTATATGTATTCTATAAAACAAAGAAGACAAAACAAAATTCATTCGTACTACAATGCATAACTACATAACATTACAGTGGTGCCTCGCAAGACGAAAATAATCCGTTCCGCGAGTCTCTTTGTCTAGCGGTTTTTTCGTCTTGCGAAGCAACCCTATTAGCGGCTTAGCGGATTAGCGCTATTAGCGGCTATTAAAGGCTTAGCGGCTAAAAGGCTATTAGCGGCTTAGCGGCTTAGAAAAAGGGGGGGGAGCGGAAAAAAATCGCAAGACTCGCAAGACGTTTTCGTCTTGCAAAACAAGCCCATAGGGAAAATCGTCTTGCGAAGCAACTCAAAAACAGAAAACCCTATCGTCTAGCGGGTTTTTCGTCTTGCGGGGCACCACTGTAATATATATGGTTTCTGAAAAAAGGCTTACATAACAAAATCAATTCAAAATACCATTCGGTTTACTCCCCCCCCCTTCCCCCTCCAGCCCTCCCCCCCGGTCAGGCCTTCCTTCTTCATATCTTTATCCATGTACACAGTCTGTTCATTCGAGCTTGTGTGTTAGGCTTGGCTTACCCTCTTTCTATCCAGTCCCTGTAAAATGCCCATTTATTTGTAATTCTTTGGCATTTATTTTCCTATCTATCCTCTGCCACTATTTGTGCGAATATTTCTGATTGTACGTATTCAAAAACATAATCATTCCATTTTTCCATATTCCATTCGGCCTTTCCTTTCCACCCCCAAGCAATAACTGCCATTCCACGCATGAGCAGAAGTGGCGAATTGCCACCCGCGCGTACGCAGACATCGGTTGCGTTCCATTCAGGTTGCGAACGGGGCTCTGGAATGGACCCCGTTCGCAACCAGAAGTACCACTGTACTTGCCCCAAAATAACAGAGCCCTTTCTGTTGGGGATAATTCAATTATCTCAATATATCATCCAAAGTCCCTATCATGATCTTGCTTCCATAATTTTTGACCTGGCACTATATTGCAAATCAGGGTGTGTGTTTGTGTGTGCTATGCAAAAATCACGATACTGGGGAGAAAAACCATGAAGCATGTACAGTTTCATCCTTGCTCCAGACATTGTGATATATCGGTATATTGTGATGTTAAGCTGGTGATAATATCACAAAGTTGAAAACCAAATATTGCCCTGGGAAATGATCTATAATGAATTGAAAAAAAAATGTTTAAAAGTACTTCCCCCCCCCCATTCTCTCTGTGAAGAAGCACTTTCTTTTATCTGTCCTTTATCTGTCCTTTTATCTGTCCTTTATCCGTCCTACCGTATGTCTGTCCCAGCAGCGATATCGTAAAAGCCAGTTTTTGTAAGGTCGCGAATTTAAGCCGCCTTTTAACTTTTCACGGTTGGAATTTGGTGAAAACAGCGAGGCTTATATTCAGGCCAATACGGTAACTGGGAAGGGAGGGGAGGGAAGGGATACTTACATGGTCCCATTGGTATAGACAGCTTCTCCTCCTTCGACGTACTGGACTTGAGCCGGATAGACATGCTGTACTGTTTGCACCTAAGAGAAAGGCACAGAGATGGGAGCAGCCATGAAATCTTGCCACTGCGCCTCTACAACAGCCTCAGCATCCCGCCAGCTCCCTGGGCTGCGAGGCGCAACGGAGGAGAAAACAGTGTCATGTCCCTGCACCCAAGCTGAGCAAAAGCCTCTCCCATGACACATTTCTAAGACCAGCAAAGCAACTGAGAAGGTGGAAGAGGAGTTCAGGGAGCAGGGGTAATCTTTTAACAATTCTATGCTATGTGGAAAGAACCTTCTATTGAGGGTGAAAGAGGAGAGCGCAAAATATGGTCTGAAGCTCAACATCAAAAAAAAACGAAGATCATGGCCACTGGCCCCATCACCTCCTGGCAAATAGAAGGGGAAGAAATGGAGGCAGTGAGAGATTTTACTTTCTTGGGCTCCATGATCACTGCAGATGGTGACAGCAGTCACGAAATTAAAAGACGCCTGCTTCTTGGGAGAAAAGCGATGACAAACCTAGACAGCATCTTAAAAAGCAGAGACATCACCTTGCTGACAAAGGTCCGTATAGTTAAAGCTATGGTTTCCCCAGTAGTGATGTTTGGAAGCGGGAGCTGGACCATAAAGAAGGCTGATCGCCGAAGAATGGATGCTTTTGAATTCTGGTGCTGGAGGAGACTCTTGAGAGTCCCATGGACTGCAAGAAGATCCAACCTCTCCATTCTTAAGGAAATCAGCCCTGAGTGCTCACTGGAAGGACAGATCCTGAAGCTGAGGCTCCAATACTTTGGCCACCTCATGAGAAGAGAAGACTCCCTGGAAAAGACCCTGATGTTGGGAAAGATGGAGGGCACAAGGAGAAGGGGACGACAGAGGACGAGATGGTGGGACAGTGTTCTCGAAGCTACCAGCATGAGTTTGACCAAACTGCGGGAGGCAGTGGAAGAGAGGAGTGCCTGGCGTGCTCTGGTCCAGGGGGTCACGAAGAGTCGGACATGACTAAACGACTAAACAACAACAACAACATGCTATTATCCCAAAACCAAGACATTTGATAGTGCAATATGGTCTATTCTTTTCCGTTTTTGCTTTTTTTCTGAAGCCAGCACAGGGTTCAGCTGAAGTCTGGGAGCAACCTGGTCTCCGTTGCAAAATGGACATTACCTGCTGTGGAACCTGCTGGACTCTGGGGACGGACAGCTGCTGCATTTGCGCCCCTTTCGGAGTGGAGCCTGTCGCCTGCACCAAAACCCTCTGGAAGACAAACAAACAAACACGGAATCACCCTTTCTGATGCCTTTACATTTACAAAAGCACCTCTCTGCTGACATCCCTCGAGGCAGTGTTCAACACGCATATAAACCCTACCAGGAAACACATCGGAATCTAGCAATAAGCCAAAAATTAAAACAGCCTGCGAGCAGCTTGCTGTATCCACTGAACACTTGGCAAACACTGAAGAATACACACTAAACCCTGGCTCTTTCCGGACATCCCCAGCAAACTATGGTTTTAAAACCATCGCTTGTGCTTTCATACATAAAAGCCAGGCCATGGTTTAGAACTGGCTGTTTCCCACCCCCTCCCCACACCCATTTCTATAGGGCAGGGGCCTCTGGAAGCAGAGTTAGGGTTATAACCGTGGCTTGTCAAATGAGGAAGCACACTAAACCGTGGTTTGCAAACTCATTTCACGCCATGTAGAGCCACTGCACATCAGAGGTATAGCCATGCCACGAGAAAACTAATTTGGTGTTTTCGGATGCCGCAAGACAATAGCCGACATCCATATAGCAACTTGCCCCATCCATATAGACCAGGGGTTGTCAACGTGGTCCCTACCGCCCACTAGTGGGAGTTTCAGGATTCTAGGTGGGCGATGTGGGGTTCTACGGCACAAGCTGAATCCTCCTTCCATCGAGCACTGGAGGGCGGTAAGGAACTTTCACCATCAAGAAAGATGCATTAGTGGGCGGTAGGTATAAAAAGGTTGACTACCCTCCTCAGCCATGGCTCCGACCTGGTGGAAAGCTCTGTCCTATGAGACCAGGGCCCTGCAGGATTTAACTTCCTTCCGCAGGGCCTGTAAGACAGAGCTATTCCGCCTGGCTTTCAATCTGAACTTAGCCTGATCTTTTATTCCCCTTCCTTCCCTCCCCCTCCCCTTTTTCTGAAGATTCCCCGCTCTGGGATCCCACAGCTAATTCTCCCCTGGTCTCCTCGCTGGCCCAAACAGGACTAATTTGGCCAGCTAGCCCTGGTGATCATCTAATGTTTATTGGATGGATTTCCCCCCAAATTAAAACACTTCACATTTTATACAGTATTTTACGCTGGTTTTTTGTTGCATCAATTAAGTGTTTTAAACTTGTTGTCAGCCGCCCTGAGCCCGGTTTTCTGACCCGGGAAGGGCGGGGTATAAATAAAAATTTATTATTTGTTTATTATTACCCCTGGTATAAGGGACGCGGGTGGCGCTGTGGGTAAAAACCTCAGCGCCTAGGGCTTGCCGATCGAAAGGTCGGCGGTTCGAATCCCCGCGGCGGGGTGCGCTCCCGTTGCTCGGTCCCAGCGCCTGCCAACCTAGCAGTTCGAAAGCACCCCCGGGTGCAAGTAGATAAATAGGGACCGCTTACTGGCGGGAAGGTAAACGGCATTTCCGTGTGCTGCGTTGGCTCGCCAGATGCAGCTTTGTCACGCTGGCCACGTGACCCGGAAGTGTCTCCGGACAACGCTGGCCCCCGGCCTCTTAAGTGAGATGGGCGCACAACCCTAGAGTCTGTCAAGACTGGCCCATACGGGCAGGGGTACCTTTACCTTTACCCCTGGTATAGACGGTTCGTGAGGTTTGCGAACACAGAGGGACAGGTGAACAGACAAGAGACAGACTGCATAGGGGACTGTGGACCTCAACAGATGCCCTGTGGTGCCCATTCCTGATGCGAGCTTGGTGGTGGGGGGAGGCAGCAAGCAGATAAGACCCCCCCCCGCCACCCAAAGGCTCGGAGTTAAAGGAAGCAAGAAAGCATTGCTTGGGAGAGGAGAGCGGATGGAGGGCTCCTTACCTGCTGGGATGCTGGCACCGGCTGGACCACAGGGGCCTGGACCGATGCCGACGTTCGCAGCGCCACAGGAGTCGTGGAATCTGAGCCGCCCTCGGACTCCTGCATGCCTGCCTCTAGGGGAGAGAGGATGATGGGGTTGGGGAGAGAACAAAGACACAGTTTTTAATTAACGGCAGAAGCTAAGGGTGCATGCTGGTTTCTCGGTGGGCCGGTGGCTGCGGCAAGCGATTTCTATTTGCGCTATTACATTCGGCACAACAAGGGGAAGTTCGGCCGCAAGTTTCTTGCGTTCGAGTTCCGCCCTGGCGGGAAACTGAGATATGCAAACAACGGCAATTATAAAAAAATTATGTCGTGATCAGAAAAGAAGCCAACCTACACAACTGTGTGATGGAAGAGATCGACGACAGGGAAATCACGAAAGAAGATGATGCCTTATGCCATGGGTAGGCAAACTGAGGCCCGGGGGCCGGATGCGGCCCAATCGCCTTCTCAATCCGGCCTGCAGACGGTCCAGGAATCAGTGTGTTTTTACATGAGTAGAATGCGTCCTTTTATTTAAAATGCATCTCTGGATAATAATAATAATAATACCTTTACTGTCAATGTACAACCTGTGTACAATGAAATCAACAATTAATTACAATGAAATTATTTGTGGGGCATAGGAATTCGTTCATTCCCCCCCAATATAGTCTGGCCCCCCACAAGGCCTGAGGGACAGTGGACCGGCCTCTTGATGGAAAAGATTGCTGACCCCTGCGGCTTATGCCCTCCTCCAGACAGAGTTGGCCGGCTGGAGCTTGAAATTGTAACTGGTGGTGAACACATCTCTTTTACTGGGTCAAAAATTGGTTCTCTTATTGATGTAAATCAGTCCAAGGATCCAGAAGGTCTTTTACTGCCTTGTCCAGGACCTCAAGTGTCTCGTCTTCAGTCTCATTGGATTACACTTCAAGATTAAGCCAATTTCAATTGTACGGATTTAAATTTGTACCGTCAAGTTACTTTCGGCGGAGTCCCTTTCCATTCCTTATCTCTCATTGGTTTTATGTGTGTCAGATTTTTTTACAGAGTGAATTTAAAGGTAAAGGGACCCCTGACCATTAGGTCCAGTCATGACCAACTCTGGGGTTGCGGCGCTCATCTCGCTTTACTGGCCGAGGGAGCCGACGTACAGCTTCCGGGTCATGTGGCCAGCAGGACTAAGCCGCTTCTGGCGAACCAGAGCAGCGCATGGAAATGCCGTTTACCTTTCCACCGGAGTGGTACCTATTTATCTACTTGTAGTTTTGGTGTGCTTTTGAACTGCTAGGTGGCCAGATGCAGGGACCGAGCAACGGGAGCTCACCCCGTTGCGGGGATTCGAACCGCCGACCTTCTGATCGGGAAGTCCTAGGCTCTGTGGTTTAACCCACAGCGCCACCCGTGTCCCTAGAGTGCAGTGGCGTAGCGTGGGGGGTGCAGGGGGGGCCGGCCGCACCGGGCGCAACATCTGGGGTTAGGGCAAATCCACAGGTTAGGGGGCGCAAATCCACGGGTTAGGGGGCACAAATCCATGGGTTAGGGGGCGCAAATTACTTGCCTTGCCCCGGGTGCTGACAACCCACGCTACGCCACTGCTAGAGTGAATTTAATAAATGCTTGAAAGCTAAAACAAACAAACATCAGAAGCTAATTCCATCCAGTGGCACGTTGTCAGTGGACTAGGGGGCTAAGCTAGCCCCCTCTATGTTCCCCTGGCACCTCCTTCCGCAAGCCTAGGAAGCTTCTGTCCAGCTTAGAGAGGGAGGTGCGATGCTCACACACGCGACGTCACACCATCATGTACCGTACACGCCATTCCCCCAATTGCCCTTGAAAGCTGGCGCCTCTGGCCCTAACAGTTCCCCTATGCAAAATTTCACCGCATGCAGAAATGGTGGGGAAACTGCCCCAGCAAAGTCCATGGACGCACAGAACCAGTAGGCACGCCAGAGCCTTCTATCCAAAGTTCAACATTTTCACAATAAGCCTGTCTACCCCAGATTCAGCAAGGGTCTCCCTTAGATGGATAAGTTTCAAATCCATCCACTGAACTGTTTTCTAACTACAAGATGTGGCACGTACTCTACTTTTTCGTTGTAGTGGCAAGATGCAGTTCACCCAACTTACCTTTAATGTATGGCCACGACTGTGGTCCTACAACTTATTTATCCTATTTTGCAGCTGAGGCTGAGATAGACAGTAACAGTGATAATAATAATAATATTTTTCACCATCTATACCCCGCCCATCTGACTGTGTTGCCCCAGCCACTCTAGGGGGGCTTTCCAATGAATATAAAAACATAATGAAACATCAATTAAACATTGTCCGATGAAAATGCAAACTTTTTATAAAAGAATGGAAACGGTTTATTGAATATTTACAGATAAATTCTAAGTAAACAGAAACAATGGCAGGGTTCTTGTCATAACCTGCAGTTTCGTAAAAGTATATATTTGAAGAAGATGAATAAATGAACCAGTTAAGTTAATTTGGATATGCAGAAGATATTAAAAATAAATTTAAGGAACCGCAGAAGATGGGGGAAGGAAGTCAAGCTTTGAAAGGTCAAAGTGATTGTAAAATCAGAGAATGTATAAATCTGAAAAGTATTTAAAAAAATTTAAAAAATTAAATACGGATGCCCTAAGGAAAAACGGGACATTCCGGGATCGAATCAGAAACAGGGATTGCTTCTGCACATCCGGGACTGTCCCTGGAAAATAGGGACACTTGATCTAGAATAGTTAAGTCCAGATCCTTTTACCCATTTATAGTGCTTGTCTGTGTAAACTAGAGTTGTACCTTGGATCCCGAACACCTTGCGAGTTGAACGTTTTGGCTCCCGAACGCAGCAAACCTGGAAGAGAGTATTCCGGTTTGCGAACGTTCTTTGGAACCCGAATGTCCAACGGGGCTTCCGATTGGCTGCAGGAGTTTCCTGCAGCCAATCAGAAGCTGCACTTTGGTTTCTGAACGTTTTGGAAATCAAACGGACTTCCGGAACGGATTTCGTTCGACTTTCGAGGTATGACTGTATGTTCAGCCTCCGCTGTTCCCAATGCCCCCCCCCATCGTCGGAGGCTAGAAACCACAGGAGGAGAGACAGTTTGCACTCTTCTCATCTAGTTGGCCCTGTGAGAATGGGATGATGAACTAGATCATGGGTAGGCAAACTAAGGCCAGGACAGCTGTCTACCAGCTCCATCTGGTACGCAGGATGAGACCCTATTTGCCCGCAGACTGTCTCGCCAGAGTGGTGCATGCTCTGGTTATCTCCCGCTTGGACTACTGCAATGCGCTCTACGTGGGGCTACCTTTGAAGGTGACCCGGAAACTGCAACTAATCCAGAATGCGGCAGCTAGACTGGGGACTGGGAGCGGCCGTCGTGACCACATAACACCTGAGAGACCTGCATTGGCTCCCAGTACGTTTCCAAGCACAATTCAAAGTGTTGGTGCTGATCTTTAAAGCCCTAAACGGCCTTGGTCCAGTATACCTGAAGGAGTGTCTCCATCCCCATCGTCCAGCCCAGACACTGAGGTCCAGCACCGAGGGCCTTCTGGCGGTTCCCTCATTGCGAAAAGTGAGGTTACAGGGAACCAGACAGAGGGCCTTCTCGGTGGTGGCGCCCACCCTGTGGAACACCCTCCCTTCAGATGTGAAGGAAATAAGCAGCTATCCTATCTTTAAAAGACATCTGAAGGCAGCCCTGTTCAGGGAAGTTTTTAATATTTAATGCTGGACTGTTTTTAACACTTGATTGGGAGCCACCCAGAGTGGCTTGGGGAAACTCAGCCAGATGGGCGGGGTATAAATAAATTATTATTATTATTATTATTATTATTATTATTATTATTATTATTATATCCAGCCTGTGGACGGTCTGGGAATCAGCGTGTTTTTACATGAGTAGAATGTGTCCTTTTATTTAAAATGCATCTCTGGGTTTTTTGTAGGGCATAGGAATTCCTTCATTTCCCCCCTCCAAAAAAATAATATAGTCCGGCCCCGCACAAGTTCTGAGGGACAGTGGACCGGCCCCCTGCTGAAAAAGTTTGCTGACCCCTGGATTAGATGGACCTCATTCGGCAGCGAAATTCTGCCCCTCTTAACTGAAGCCACGCGGGAGCACTTGCCAATCGAAAACAAAACGTAACCACTTCCCCCCCCACCCCAATTTTTTTCTTTTAGCCATCCCACGGAGTTATACTAAAGTGGGTTTCCATAATGCAGGAATGCTGATGGAAAGAGACACCGCCTCTTGCGTCACCGACGAGCAAACTCTGACTCGCAAGCAAACTAGGCAGACGCTCCGGACAGATGGAGTCCCTAGAAACCGTCTCTATTTACCCTGCGCTGGGCTCGGTATCCAGGCAGAGAGCATGCAACAGAAAAAGGAACTATTTGGAAAGAAGGGAGGGGGGGGCCAGAGAAGCAAGCAACCAACTTCTGGGTTCTATTTGTGGGGTAAACGTGTGCCGTGACCCTGGAGAAGCCAAAGAGCGTTTAGAAAACGGGGTCTTGTCCCCCCGTCCCCCGGATCGCTGGTGTTTTCGGAACCAAAGAGTGGGTCACAAGCGTGGTTTGGATTGCTCCGTGTTTTTAGAAGGAAAGGCAGAAAGAGAAGGGAGGGAAACAGAGAAAAAGGGGAAGGAGGATCGGATCTAGAGGATCATAGAATAGAATCCTAGAGTTGGAATAGACCACAAGGGCCATCGAGTCCAACCCCCTGCCAAGCAGGAAACACCATCAGAGCACTCCTGACATATGGTTGTCAAGCCTCTGCTTAAAGACCTCCAAAGAAGGAGACTCCACCACACGCCTTGGCAGCAAATTCCACTGTCCAACAGCTCTTACTGTCAGGAAGTTCTTCCTCATGTTTAGGTGGAATCTTCTTTCTTGTAGTTTGGATCCATTGCTCCGTGTCCGCTTCTCTGGAGCAGCAGAGAACAACCTTTCTCCCTCCTCTAGATGACATCCTTTTATATATTTGAACATGGCTATCATATCACCCCTTAACCTCCTCTTCTCCAGGCTAAACATGCCCAGCTCCCTTAGCCGTTCCTCATAAGGCATCGTTTCCAGGCCTTTGACCATTTTGGTTGCCCTCCTCTGGACACGTTCCAGTTGGTCAGTGTCCTTCTTGAACTGTGGTGCCCAGAACTGGACACAGTACTCCAGGTGAGGTCTGACCAGAGCAGAATACAGTGGCACTATTACTTCCCTTGATCTAGATGCTATACTCCTATTGATGCAGCCCAGAATTGCATTGGCTTTTTTAGCTGCCGCGTCACACTGTTGGAGGAGGGGCACAGCTTTCTTTTCAAGCGGCGCCAATGTAGAGGTTTCGAAAGGTCTGCCACATGAATAAAGAAATCGCAGATGATTAATTCAAGTAGATTCCTGCCATCATCCGCCCCCACAAGTCAAGGAGATAAGTCACTATACAACCTTTGGAATACATCTGATGGCAACCCTATACAGGTG